AGACTATGACCCCAACTATAACATTAGCAATGTATAGTTTTTACTGAAGGACGAGCAACCAACGGATGTCTCGATGAGACACCAAAGAATTCTAAATCTGAGTCGATAGGCGTCGTCCGGAAGTCAGATGCAGACAGCTCTGCTAGATCCACCACAGAGTGCGTTGGCGTGCATTGTTGTTAATGGCAAGGATACCCAAATATTTGCACATATCTCTGTACGACTGACATATACTCGTGTGTAAAAAGATAGTAGACGGACGATCTGGTACCGCGTGGGTATTTTGAAGCAGAAGTGTAAAAAAACAAAAAAGTACGAGGCAATAAAGGCACCAACTGCAAGGGTCGCTTTGTCCAACCCCATAGCGTACTACAAAAAAATGACGAAAATGCTGCAAAGTTTTATGTATGTTACAAGATATACGATACACTGTGATACGCTTGGTAGTTTGGGTTATAATGTAAGTACTTGATTGAATTGATCTTTTGAATTTTTTAGAATTGGTCATTACGAAGTTTGCATAGAAGACAATAATGTGACCTTTAAAATGCATTTATAATAATGCACGAAAACAATGTCACAGTTCTGTATACTTTCAATTTCGGATAGGTAACGAGACTTTCCTTCGGTAGGACCTTTGGGTGCCATTGAGTAAAAGCTTGCGGAAAACTTTTTGCCTTATCTGCTGTTTGAGCCTTAACACGCGCCGTTAGTGCGGCCTTGCAATGAGCTTTTGTTGCGTCCTCTGCAGGTTGACGCTCTTGTATCAGACATAAACGTCTCCAGGGCGTGAGTCGTTGCATCTAGTAGTACAGATTACTGCTCAAAGTTGTCCTCTTATCAAACAGCGCTGCTTACTTCAGACTTTTCCGTGTGTAACGGATCATCAATATTTCATCATTAAGCATATTCTGGTATTGGCCTAAATTCGGCCGAACGCAACATCTTTAAGGAGAGTTTCCTAAATCTATAGCTATACACCTAGAGATGAATATATTTAGGTATTTCACTTTATTAGCGTAATTTAGGAGTGGACTGCCCGATAGTTCGAACAATCACTAATAAAATAGACTTTTTGCATTTTGTTACTGTTATTTTTTCGTGATCTTAACTGTTAAAGGTAAGGTAATTGGTCTCTAGAAAGGTTTTTATATTTTGATGTATCAACTCCACGCGGAAAGGATAAAGGCATCGCCTGTGAGGTTTTCATAGGGATTGAAAAATATTTATAATGGATGTCTCTACTAATTGGCTTTTTTTTTTTTGATATTTTTTGCGTAAAGCGATCACTTTAAATCATCTAAGAATAGCTCCCATAGAACATTATATTAAGTATCGGCGTCATGTCTTGCTCATTTAGAAAAAGACAATTTCAAGAATCTATAGGAATACAGCCTAGTTTGAAAGCAAAGAAAAAATTCTCTCTCGCTAACCAAATTCGTTGAGCGTGTTAAATGATAAAAAAAGCTTTCTCTATAATAAATAAGTCCGTATTATACCATAGAAAATCTTTTTTGGGGAATTCAGTGAAGTACAAATTGCGCCTCTATAGTGCAATACACGTCGTCCTGATATAATAATAGCTATGGATAATTATTGTTAAATAACACAGGATTTTACTACAAAACGGCATTGGCCATTTCGTTCAGAATTCACTTTCTGATGGGCAGATCTACGTATCAATAGTTAGCCAACTTTCTGTACTTCAGTCTTTTCCACGGGCAATCATTCATCTTCTAACGGTCATTCGAAGCAAGTGGAACTCTACTGGGGCAGGACTTACAATTGTCTTACTGATCATTTGAACCTATTGATTTTTCGCTAGATGACTCTGAGCGAGATTTCTTAATTCAATTCACTATCGACCAGTTTCATTGTGGTCGACAGGAGACTATCTCCTATCCAGATTGATAAAGGACATTTATAAAACAATTGCAGATATTATATTGTGATCATTGACGGAGCCTAAAATGGTATGCCAATGAGACAGGACCTCTGAGAGACCCTTAAAGATGCGAGCATCAGGATGGCCTGGTAAAGGAAAAATCATTTTACCAGTTCGCTGCAGTAAACGTGCAATACAATCTATTGTTTCGCGTGAAGGGATAAGAGATTAATTAAAATCATTACAACTTTATAAACATCTAATATTGTACGTATGGTCTGTAGTGGTAAAAGTCTGCGAGTTTGAGAAATGGCTCAATAGCGTTTATTAAACATAGGCCGAAGTCCGCCTCGAAATCGGAACGGGAGGTTGAGTTATTTTATGGCCGAAACTGCCGCGTTTTTTTAATAAAGTTGTTTCGAAACTTTCAATTTTAAGTAGCCCTTTGTATGATTTCTAGTTGGATAACTAAAGGAGAATCTATAGTTGAACTCACTCCAATTTTTTTTATAGATTATTTTCAACGTATAGCTTGAACGTTTCGTGTCGTTTGTTACCGCGCTCTGTAACACGGTATCTATCGAAAATAAATAGCATACCCAGTAAGTGACTAGTTATTCAGTCAGTAAATCCCGCTCGTTTAAAAGCTGCTTGTTTCTGTCAGACTGCCTTAGTAATTCGTTTCAAACGTCCTGTACAGCTCATGGAAACACAAAACTTTTTGAACGCATTTAGAAAACTTTTCGTTTTCTAACCGCTTTACACGCTACGGTAAGTTATCGTGCATTTGGTAGTTGTTTTTTTTACAGCGCTATAGCACAAATATTATTCATCAAACATGGGGTTTTTCGAAATATTATATTATATCGGCAGTATGTATTAGCTGTTCTGTGAGTGATCACAGCTAAGTATATACGTTTAGTTTTCTCACAATTTTGTGTCAGCATTGAAAAAACTTCGTCGATGATTAAACATCCAGATCATCAAATTGGTTCTGTTTAGTAAACCGTTTAAGGGGGCCAGTGTAGAAACATTTGAGGGCAGTGTCTAGCTAAAATTCTAATTCACCAGAAAAATCGGTTTCAAGAGATTAATTGGTTTGTCGTTAGCTTCGTTTTTTCAGCGATTTCCAGCCCGAATTGCTGTCAACGTCAATGCTTGTAGACGACAACGCGATTTTGCTAAGCTTCGCGCTCTGGCGAGCCGGCATCCCACGTGCGTCAAACTCACGTTATAGTAAGCTTGTTTGTGTTTATTTCAATTCAGGGCTCATCGGTAACTGCGACTAACTCAACGCTACCTCAGCTTCCATCCATGTACAGCTTTAGCCCAAGTTAATGACTCCCTAATAATTGCTAGACCTCGGCGTATCATCGCGACAACAAGTGGTTGCACCTAATAAAAACCAATAAGAACAGCTTTATTTTGAAAAATGTCCTTTATAAACGTCGCAGACGAGTGAAATTGCTAAAAATTAGATCGGGAGTAGCCATTTTTTGACCTGGCGCAGGAGTACTGCAATATATTTTATTTGAGGATCACTATTGAATGAGCAATGAGTAGTACCGGCAAGGAAGTAGAGCTCAAATTATCCCCACTAATGACAGACATATCTGAATACTTTAGCTCGTTTAATGTCTGTTGCAGTTTGCATTCATTTAGATAAGAACACGACGTATAATTAGAATATAAGACGATATAGATCAGTACCGCAAATTATTAAATACGCTACAAGAAAAAAATAGGAATCGACCAGGTTAGGTTTCAATTTTATGAAGATGAAGCTATCACGACCGACAAAACGGGCATGCAGCGTTGCAGGCATATGAAGTTGTTTTTTTGCAGAAAGGTTTCATAATTGATATAGTATCTATGAAAGAACGTAAAGGCCAAGCTCCTTTTAGTACAAATAATACACTATACTTACCTTACCCCAAAACAAACACAAATCGACTCAGCAAGAAGGGTGCAAACCTTAAAGGTAACAACGTAATAAGACAGATACAACAATAAAATGACCATTTAGACGCTTACATATTTTTTGAACTCGCTATATTTTACAAAAATAATTGCTATGCACTTTATTGAGAGTGGAAGGTAGCATTAAAATCCATGAAACCCTTTCCCTTGGGGGTAGCACGTGTTACGAGAGCTAGAAAGGGCAAATTCGATGCCCTTTCCACGCACGCTGGGGAAGTCATTCGGAGTTCGGCGACATGCTCGGAGATTAGACCTCTGAACAACACGACCGGAACGGCGTCAGCAACGACGACGACGTATTCGTGAATGGAGCAAGCGTAAACTTTGTGAGAACATAATAGAAACCGGTTGAAGTGGTTCAAGTGTCCTAAGGCTGACTAAGTGTGACCATAAAAGGGCCCTAATCAAATGAAGGTTTTTAGGACGATACTGAATTATCCAATGGTAAGCTCTGAGTGCTTTCAGACAGCTCTCGATCTAGGTTTAAGAAAGTCAAATCGGAAACGAGTCAACGGAAGATCTAAGCACAAATGACTAAGGAGTACCTATTAAGCTAACTTTTGAAATAAGTAGTATTGTTAATAGTAACCTGCGTAACTATTTGGATCAGAACTTCTCTTGAAAAACCTAAGACAGCTCATATCATATGTTTTGACTACCCATGAAGTGACCACCAACCCAAAATCTGAAAAATGTGCTCATTGTGTAGCAAAAGATGCAGGAATCATCCGAGCGAGCACATTCATAATAATTATAACAAATATATTATCCATAAACGGTAAACTCACTTTCAGCACGTTACAAACAGTAATAAGAGGTAAGGAAGAAAAAAACTATAACATGCAAGTTCAATGACTCGGCCTTCAATTCCAGTTATCTCATCTATTTATTTAGACGTACAATACATAATCAAATCTGTCTGGTGAAAACCAGCCGCATCGCTCGATGATAGCGTTAAATCGAAGGGTTAATCTCTCTTAATGTGGGATTTTTTCCAAACGTCGTGGCAGGAACACAGTTTGTCAAGAGTTTCCTCGTTGTGGTCAAAGCAGCATAGTTTCTATAGTTACTATACAATACGTTTATCTTTTTCGAAGGGTGTAAAGGGGCTTCTTTGATCACGACGTAAAAGTTAAGCTCATTCAATTCATCATTTTTTATTAACTCTATTTCCTTTTTATTATAACTGGCATTGTACGCGGCATGTATCTTTGCTAAGCTCTTTTCTGTCGTATATCGTATTCGACTGGCAGTAGGAAGATAGTTGACGTATCTGCTCCGTCTAGTCTGCTTTTCGTCAGCCACGGTATTTTCGCGAGACTCGTTCGCTATGGCTGTTGTTTTTGGGGGATTAGGAGGACTGAAATCAAAGAGCCCCATATACAAAGCTGTTCCGCTTACTGCATCCGTTCTCGGCTAACAATAACCGGTAACTATAAGGATACTGTATGTGAATAAATAAGGGATTCGCGGTATTCAGGAGTCACGGAAACAGCGTAAGCTAACTTTTATACAAAGTTAATTTATGCTGGTTTAGCGATCGCAAGTTTGTTTTGGATACCAAACCACGCTGCGTTCGACTATAAAAGATAGGCGCCGACGAACGCTGATATCTGTTGGACGAAGAAGTAAGTGGCTTACTCAGTTCCAGACCTAGCAGGCTATGAAGTTCATCGGTTGAGTGTTTAGTATTCTCTCGACGAAGTAGGAAAGGTATCGAAAACATGACGATGGTTGGCTATCAAGTATCAATCCGCTGCCGTGTGCTGTTCGTTATTTATAAGACATTTCCATACAAACTTGTTATCGAACCAAGGTTAATATTCTGTTTCGTGTTAATTATTACTCTTTATTCGATCTGTATATATATATATATATATATATATATATATATATATATATATATATATATACACACCTCGAAACGGAAAAAGATTCAAAAAAAGACACTCTTCAATAATCCACAGCGTACGAGAGGGTACGATACCAAAGCTTGACATTCATGTATAAAACACCCCATTTGGGATAACCTGAAGGAGGTGCTTTATCGTGAGCTGCCCAAATCAAAGCGCGATTTATCATTCTAAATTAGGCAATTTGTTTGAGTGATAACGATAGCGTCATACGTCAAGTAAAAGTGTTTCAAAATACAATATATAGTTTCAATTAGGAAATGTTGCGATCGGCGACTGTCCACACTGAGAAAGCATAATTTGGCGAGCAGTGCAACTTCCAATGTAAGTCAATGATTTGTTTGCCTCGAAAACGGACAACTATCGCCGCAAGAAACATACGTTGCATGCTACTATTACTATTTAAGTTCGTTTGCTACTTTAGAAGTTGCAGTACCTCAAGTAATAATGAAAACGAAAGTTAGTTAAAATGTAATCACTAATAGAGACAATTATGAGGGTCGATAGATGTGCATTTCATATCAAAATTTGTACCTTTATGCGATTTTAACTGGCAGTAAGGGGAAAAAACTGAGCAAATATAAGTAAGCAAAGCCTTGTTGTTTTTGTTGTCTGCAGAAGCCAATAATTACTTATCGTTAGTAAGTTGTTAATTAAACTTCTTCAGTACAGCCCATAGCGAAATCGAATGTTTTTGAATCGAAGCAGACACAGATCTAAGCCCAACGTGGGACCCAACGTGGTTGACGGCCGCTTTCCTGAATACCTTCATCATTTAATAGCCCTGACCGTGTAGAAAAATATATTTTAGGCCAAGGTAGTTTATCTGCACGGAATCCCCTTTCTAAGATGTTTAAGGGGTTTCTGTCACAAAAATCAAAGTCCATTTGAAACAACTAGGCCTCTTTATTAGATCAATACGCAGTTCCTCTTAGCTGTCAGAGCTGGCACATTATACTAGTCTGCATAGATGACTTTATTGTACAAACTGTATGGGATCATAATAATGGAGAGCAGTGCATGTAACTTGTCGTATAATTTCTGACCGGCGTTCTTATGTAATCTAAATTACGTCCAATCAATTCACGCGTAGTTACAAATACACGGCAACGCGTATGAGGCTAGGATTGTTCGATAGGTACATATCAGACGACCACTACAAGCTATAACTACGTGTTCTGAAGTAATTTGATTGTGATAATAGCTACAGGTAGACAGGTGTTACTATAAAAGGCTATTACGTGAGTGTTATCGAACGGAAAAATAATTATTGCTATTTTACGGTCGCGTAAGCCGATCGTACTCACTCACGATTTGAAAGTCTGGGCAATTTTACAAGGTGTTTTTTTCGATGACGACATGATTCACAAGAGCTACTATAATACGCAGGTAACAGTACAAACGTTGAATTGTTTTTAGTGAATGCATTATAGAAGTAATTAAAGTCTTTTATGACTGGACGACATTTTCTTGTGTTTTTTTTTTTTTATAAAAATATACCGTAATAAGTTTTACTGCATATTTTGCTTTGCCGTTACTTTATTCTCATAATTGTATTCGAGGCTGAGCTAGCCTGATGAATAAATAAAGCTCCTCTCTCACTTGAATTATTCTATTATATGTTTTTCTACGACGCAACAATTTTTAATGGCGCTTCATTCCGTTAACAAGAGCTCTACTCCTTGACCTACAATCATGGATGTTTGCCAACGCATTAAGCCCTTCGGCCAACGTCGTGTCTTCTTAAGACCTAATATATTGTCTAACTAGTCCCCCGGTTTCTAGACGCAGTTCGTGCATAATATCTAAACACGCATTAGCTGTCATCCAACCCTCGTGGGCGACAACACAACACACAGGCATACAGTCTTATCCGAACATTACCAACGCGGCTTAACGCCATGGTTTGTACAGCAAGTCCTGCGAGGCAGCCGAAGTAGCCATTCGGAAGTTTAGTCTCTCTTAGCATTTGTCCCTTTATAAGAGACCACAACGTATAGCACAGATCCTATGCCGACCACTCGCGTGAAGCTTCTTGGTAGTAGAGTCAATATGTTGTACGGGTTAACAGTGGCTGGTGAGCGGAATGGACATCAAGACGAGCCGCGAGCCAACGCTACCCCCGAGGCCGAGAGGAGGAGTAGAGTTCCACCCCTTAGTAATGGCGTAGGCTCGAGTAAGTGTACAACCCGTCAGATCCCGACGTGATTGGTTGAGGTTGGTGAGGGGTTGGTCCCGAGTCTGACCGATTAGTTCGACCGGTCTACGGAAGGTTTCTGCAGTCGCACCCCAGAAACAATCATGTGTTTCGGTGATACTGTTTTCTCGTACAACTTCAATCGACCTGATCTCGTGATTTTTCATACTCTTTGAATAGCTTATTACCTTTAGACCGTTTTCCCTGAACACGTTCAGCGAATGGTAGCGTAGGCTTATATAGAGGGCTTGGTTGAAAAATCCGAAGCACAAAGTTGAGGTTAGCTCACTTTTGCCCTTCGCTTTTATTTTACCAGCCTAGCCTTCTATACTGTCCTTAGTCGAATCCTCTGCCCCTGGCAAGTTCCGGATTGCTTTGTCTTTTTGTTAATGCAGCAGTCCAGATACTGGTTGTTCCGTATGAAGAGGAGGGTACTACTCCAATTGCAGGTGACACGTTTCAGCGATGTCATCGCCATTCCCTCCGGTGCGGCAAAGAGAACCTTAGTCGTTCCCGTGAACGTGCTTCTTAAACATACTTATGTTGGCTAGACGTTTGGCGTTACCCGGGCCGTATGCAAACCGATGCCCAAAGTAACCGTCACACCTCATCGGAAGGATCTGTTCAGCGGACAGACGCAGAAAAAAACAAGAGAAACAATTAAATGATTAAAATACCATACATATGATAATCCTCCATATTTCGAGTTCTATATAAAGGCAATACACTATACGCCTGGCTTCCAGCACGAAGCGAATCCGATCTATGCCCAAGTTTGAGTCTAGACGATAACGTGTTCCTAAGATTAGGGGGCAAATACGTTACCCACCAAGCCATCATGGGGACAAAAGGGTACTATAAGCCTAGAAAATCACAAGCAATCACCATTCACGAGGTGGCTCGTTTAAGCCAATGAGCCGAAGATTAAATATTTTACACAGTTGCCTAGATCGATGAACGGCAGAGAGTGGACTACAGCATTTTATTATTTATTTTTATTTTAGCGATTATTATTTAAGCAATTTATTATTAGTAACGGGCTAGTGGTGAGTTTAGTATTCACCAGATGGGTATACGTACGAAACGAAAAAAAAACCCACGACTCGAGAGAAACTAGTTCATCATGCAAATCCAGTTGCAAACGGAAGCTATAAACAGAACGAAATTTTCATCGGAGATTACTTATCGGCGAAATCAGAGTTTTCTTAAACTTCCTTTCTTTAGTCCTATTCAACGCTTTATGTTATTGGATCATCACTTCTTTTAATGACCCACGGGTACAGAGCACTATCGAACCGAGTGTTTAGTATACCCCATCGTCCAATAAGAAAATCAAGATCAACAAGGCATATAAGATACGAAAAAGATCCCAGCCGTGTGGGCTTATTAATAATAATCCCTTCAGTTCATCATACAGCGATGTATGCCAAGAATACGGCTTACTGATATGGTTATTATTGCTATGACGGGAACTTACTATCTCCTTTTTTTTTTTTATTTCCACTGTCAATCTTTTTAATCAGGTATACTAACGTGATAACTGTGTCATCACCGTATTTTCGTAACATGACGCAGTCAACGATAAGCTATTATATCGACGTTGGTTGGTCTTATCTCAAAATGTCACGATTGTTTATGCTAAAGGCCTAGTGGGTCACCGGGCTTTATCAAAGATCTCCTCTTTTCTTTTTGTCGCTAAGCCGTTTATATATAGTACCATTTTTGAAACGGCTTCATCTTTCTCCAAGCCGCCATTCGATTGACCTCAGTTTTATTTTTTTCAGTTAGACTTCTCTCTCGATTTTTTGCCTTTCGGTAACTTCTGCCGGCTCGCCCATCCCAGAAGCGTGTTTTCCCGGTAGCGGGATTTGTTACCTTGAATTAAGTGCCCTTTTCGCTGTCGCTTCTCTTCACTCTTTGTCTTGTACTGCACCTGTCGACTTTTACATTTGTGGCTGCACTGGTTTATAAGCTAAGAAACAACATGATTATACAATATGATGAACTGTTTTTGGTTCTGTGCAAAAGAAATTTCTCGGGTAAGACACAATTCTGTGACGTATTGGGGTTCGAGATCAATGATGATCTATATCCTACAGGGCACGAAGTTTGTTTGATAAGTTATATTTACGATAAATGGTTAAGTTAGTGTGTGGATCTATTTGCAAGCCGAATAAACCTACAATGGTCAGATGGTTAAGTTTTATATTTACTCATGTTGGAGACACTTTTGTATCTCCGCTAAATTTAAACATTTCATTCTGTACCATTTTCTTAATGGCTATCTATTTTAGCCCGAACAGAGTGGCAGTTTATATGTATACGTTTATGTAAATATGTGGATTTTATTGTTTACCCCTACTTCATATTGGCGGCACAATAGTTAAGAGTACATTCAGTTAAACAGTTCATTTGATTTTCTGTTTATACAAAATCACTACCTGAGCCTCAACGGTGAACCCAACACTAGCTCCTACACATAGCGTGATCCGATATCAGTAAACGTATATTATGTCGGCACTAAAGTTTACGGTTGCTATTTAGGGGAAGTTGTGTATATAGCGGGCGGCTAACCCCATACAGCGCCTGTGGATAATGTCAGAAATAACTTGATGAAGCGTTTTCTCTTGGATGGACGGCTGTCTTTGTCAATCTATCTTAGACCAGGTTCAATGATTAACCAAGTGTCAAGAGCGCACATAAATGCACATAGGGTCAAAGTCAAGCGGATGTCATACTTATTTTTACAGCTTATACGTAAGTATGGTGCCAGTATGGGGTTAATTTTTTAAGACCCCTCTGAGAAAGCGGTTTATTTCAAAACTACATTGTTCAGAAAATGCAGTCGGGTAAATACTGTAGGACGCTGGCTGCCTCCGCGGCACGATGAACAACTAACCGTCTTCACAAACCTGGGATTGCCGGTTCGATTTCCAGCTGAGGGTCACTGACTGAGATAAATTAGAGCTCTTAATTTCGACCTACCATTTAGCTATCTCATCACGCCGTCGGCTCGTAGTAGATTCACAAATTGGCCTCACAATAGCACAGGTATTGTCGTATATTGCAGACGAGTGATACAAGTTCCTACAACAACCTTTGGCTCACTTCACATTTTTATCTTTTCTTTTTTTTGCTTTAGGCTCACTACATCTACATGATACATTTGAACAACAAGCACATTTCTATCAGATGCATAATCAGACTAAGATTTAGTCCGTCTTTTATTAAAATCTTTGCAGATAGGCTAAATGCCGCCAGGCTGAACGACACCCGACGTGGCCTAAGCCATTGTCGCTTAACTAATCGTTCGACAGGAAGATGCGTTTAAAAAGCTGCGTCATAGCTTGGTCTTCCATCTGCGTGATCTGTGTTATTGCATTATGGCCGGCTATTCCAGGAGTCCATGCAGGTCGGGACTTTCGTGGCGGTCGAGGAGCCAGAGCTTCTCGAGTTACATTAAATACCTCGAAACGTCTCCGTTTGCCCCGTGGAACTGGTGACAACTACTACGATCGAACATCTTGTCCCGATTCGTATGAACAGTACTATGTGGGTGGAAACGTTGCTGGCTCCGGCAGTGGAGGACAGTCTTCGGCTTATGAAGATCGTAGTTTCGCCGCACCTTCGACGTCGGCCTATAGCCATTTAGCGACGTCGACGCAGAAATCCGCTTACAAGATGTCGCGTTCGCGGAACAAGCCGGAGATCAAAATTGGTTTCCTTGGTGAGTACTCAACTCGAATGAGGCAGAAAAATAAGGATCAGGCCAGAAACAAAATGACATGGCTATTGTGTCTATAGCCGTGCATACTTCACTTGAATTATAGTAAAACAAGCCTTATCTCGGTAAGAATAGGAGTGTTATACTACTATGTACTAGCGGAGTTCAATAGCTTCACTTTACGCAAATGTCAATGTTAAGGACCTACGATATTGGGGCTCTGGCGAAAGGAGAACTTATTTTCATATCCAAGATAAGACTTGAGGAAGTCGAGACGCCAGTTGGGGTTCCTATGAAACAGACGTCACTTTAATTTATCTAATTTCACTTACAAGAGAGGTAAGCGAAACTGTACGGTTTTACCGTCTTTGCCCGTGGTTCCCGTCGTTTGAGAGAAGCGAAAACGAAGGAGAAACCTGAAATGGTACATGCGCATAAGTAGTTCCAAAGGCCTTCCTATTTAAATCATTTTGTTGGCACCGTAAAATTATAGAACCATTCAAAACCTTTTTTGATGGAAAAATGGATTATTTTTCTATATATATTTCTATATATAAAAATATTAGGATTTGTTAGGTTTTCCTCTGTATAAACATATTATGCGAGTTGGTACCTTTTCGTCTTCTTTAAATCTGTATGGTTGAAATGCTGCTAAAATAAAGACAATCAAACACATTTTAAGTAGGAAGAATCTGGTATCAGTTTTAAGAAAAAACTTAGTTACGAGCTACTAAATATCTAAACTCTTATGTTGTTTCTATCTATACAGATGCATTAATTTGGTTTTGGGCCCTTAACAACTAATTACAGTAAACTTATTCGATCTTCTTTGCCATTAAATACACTTCCAAATCTAACCTTCTATTTCTAATCTTCAGTATAAAAGTTTAGAGAAATAAACGTCTCGCTTACTGACAGATCTGCAAGAGCGAAGGTCATTGTTATCTTTGCCTAACGTTATCACATTTTTCCTTAAGAAAGAATTACTATTTTAACCTACCAAAAGTTCTCAGAATCATCCTCTAAACCGAGATAGTACTGAAATGTCTCAAGAAACATTTTTCATTAAAAAAAGCAGAGTGTTACCAGAACTGGGACTGCACTCATTGTGAGAGATCTAATATTCAGAGCAGAATTCATGTTCCAGGCTATACTAATTACATAGGTTTTGCTATTGGAGCTTATATAAACGCTTAATTTAGGTTCGAGGTGTTCAATTTAGCCGCTAGTCCAGCTAGGACGCTTTTCGTCACTATTTTTTATTGTTATTTATCGAAAAAATAAATACCTAACCCGATCTCATAAAGCCTTTTTCAAAAAGATCACGAACATCATCTTACATGATGTAATCTTTCAACCTTATAGATCACTGAAAAGTCTATATAAAGAAATGATCATGTTTATTTAGCTCGCTCCCTACATTGACTAGAACGGGCAAGTGTCTAAAACCCAGGTAAGGTCAGATATTTAGATTTAGCAATGTGACAGTGTTTCTTCTTGACTATAGCGGAAAAATCAACGAATGTTTCTGTTGCGTCTAGCCATCTCGAGTTGTCAAGACAGTCAACGATTCTTCACAAAGGCGTTCTATTGGTATTTGTTTATTGCTAAGAAATAAGTAATTTCAAATTATGAATACTAAGCGATCTTCTAATTACGTTGCTGGAGTCTGTAGGAAGAATACACGGTCCTGTTTGTGATGAATCAGACCTACATTGTCGTTTTATGTACACTGAGGCGTGCAGTTCGGTTCCATCGTTGTTAAAACGTGGGTTTGTTTCTACTTGTTTATAGTAAAAAGAACGTATTATTAGAGAGTATATTATATGAGAAACGCATCATCCACGATGAGCTAAATCTTTCTACTGAAAATGCTTACAATATTGTAGTTCCTTCATAATTGGCCAAATCATGCGAAGAGTGAATATATATCTACGGTACATTGTCTGAGATGGTGCAACGAACATGTTGAGCACTTGCCTCATTATATTATACAATGTTGCGATCTAGACAGACTTTCTCTCAAGTCCACCCATTTCTTTTAGTGCGTTTTATTTAGGTTAACATACAGGGTGTGCAGTACATGCCGTACGTCTAATATCGGCTAGAGCATCCCGACAAACGTACTCGCTGTGCTAGCTTAGTACGTGAATTAAGTGCAGTATTAACCGGTTTGAGAGAGCCAGCTGCTCCGAAGCACGAACCCAATGGCCGGCTTTTCGTATCCTATAAACAGGTGGCCAACCGATAACGAAATACGCAAAACGTAATGCATGTAAACGGGCTATTAGCGAGAACCATTGTTGAACTCAGCATCAAATGTTAGGGGAAGACTGGTATATTCTGTCTACCACCGTTTCAGTGGGATACCTTATAAATAAAAAAAGGTATATAAAAAAAAACTTTCTACCAATGAATCGCCTCGCTGCCCATCAATAAGCAAAATTCGTTTGCTCTATGCCGTATATCTTCCCGCAGGCGTTTTCGTAGCACTTGCTCCAGTAGACAGTGGTGGAAAAGGGGAGCAGCGTAAAACTTGTCTTGAAGCATTGCGAGAAAAATCAGCTTTTTTATGATGAGGCGAAAGGGGGTTAAGCTGAGATAAAAACTGAGACAAAGCGGGGCGCAGAAAATGCTTAGAACATTGAGGGACCGCTCAGCAATGGTACAATAGCAGCACAGAGAGTTAATTGGCAAAAGCCCGGCGTTTGAAGGCCGTGGGCTCTTTCGTCTGCCATGCCGCGTCATCGGGTTTGGTTAGTTAGTTTTTTAACTCTTCATTGTACCATTGACCAGCTAGAGTGGACTGACTAAAATCCCGATGCTTCGTTATTTTCGCAGAGGTGTTTTCGTTGCTGGAAATGGGCATTAGAAATGCTCGCTATCTTGCCGGGAATTTCTAAACGAGACGTTAGGTTAGAGAAAACGCTCTGGTGGTATTGCTACGAAATGAAGGTGATAAAGATTTGCGATCATGAGGATCCCGTTATATGCGAACGCACTAAACCCACCGGCACTTCTTGTACACCTATTCCCATTGTGCCAGATATTAAAAAGGTCTTCTATAATTTGACGCAGCTTTTTAGTTTCAAGACTTTAAAGCGACTTGACGACCTAAAGAAAACGACAAAATTAACCGGTAAAGGTAGGTTCTGTGTTAAAGAAGGAGTATATCAGATAAAGGTGACAGAATGACCATTAGTTCACCTATACGGAGCAGAGACAGATGAAGATGACAGTAGAGATTCTTTGGATAACAAATAGTCTACAACGATACCATGACATTATTGTTGGTTATGGCTTCGTCTAACAGCTATTTCGTGTGAAGCTGTAATGTGGAGTTCTAAGGAAAAGGTGTACATAATGGCATTCCTTTGCACCTCGATATTTTATATATGTTTCACCTTATTGGCAATACGTTACTTTGTGCGCAATCGAAAGTTTTTTATATATTTATGTATTTCTCAAATCTCTTAAGTTTGTCAAGCACACGACTGAAGGACATGGTGACCACACTCAGATGCCTGACCAGACCAAGAAAACAGCTGAATGTAGTCGAAGTCCTGTAAATACTCCTGCATGGAACGCGATACGTTAAATGACAACCTAAGATATAATGACTCATAATACCTAGAATACTTGCGTAATCTCTCGGAGTCATATACTTAACCTTGTTTCAAAAAAAAAAAAACCGTTTAGCATGCTAAGCGCTGCCTGAGTCTAAAATTTATAACGAATTTAATTGCTGCTTACCCATGTCTGTCATTGGACAATGGCATCTAACTCCTCCAATGGCACCTTTTGGGTCTCCTAAATATAATAATGAAAACCTAATTGTATAAGTGTTCGTTAAATTACTAGTCCTGAAGGCCTTCAGTCCATGTGCTTCTCGGCTATGGATCCCTACCGTATTAGATTACCCTAAATAAATAGCCTGTCCTGTTATGCTGTAACTGTGGCACACAGTGCAGTAATGTCCTAATACAGTGTCGCCCGAATGGAATGTTACCAGTAAGAGTAGTCCTTTTCGCATGAATCTGTGGCCTGCAAACAGCAGGTAGCGTCATTGCACTTCTACGCCATGCGCTTACATGCCTGCAGTAAGAACTGGTGCAAGTAGAATAGTACCTAGAGGTGACGAACTAAGCAATGTCACTGTTAAATAGGGTATCGTGATTGAAGCCACTCTGCCATACTAATTTTACTTAGAGAGTCGAATTAGATTCGGCATACTAATACGTGAGCTACTAACACACAACAGCTGAATGCAACCCATGATAATGATTTTTAGGCCATTTTAGCCTATCTTATCCATTTATCTTCAATATACAATTTAGAAAACTGATCTTTTTTAAAGAGACTAGTGGTAATTCTAAATTAGAAAGTCCGTGTTAACTTCTAACGCATCTTTATGAAAAAAGACTTCTAAAAGAAGGGCTTTACTTATAGCATACGAATATGGCGTTAATGAATCTATGTTAGTGTGTTAACATGTCTTCGAAGCGCCTGATATGAAATTCATTATTTATGTGTAGTAATTACGCGTTATGGGATACAGTGTCATATGGAACCTTTAGCCAATACCACCCATCGTGAATTTACATATACGAAAACAATAGAAGACAAGTATCTATATAACTGAGAAAAACGCGAAGTTTTCTTCACAGTGGCAGCAGAACGCTTTCGGTGTTTGCAAGGCCCCTCTAGCGAACTAGCAATTTTTGCCTGTTCTGGCCCTCAATTCATCGTGGACGACATTGGCTTTTCTCAGTTCCATGAAGAAAGGGCTTTCTCAAGGCGAAGGATACGGAACTCGTGGTGGAATTTTTGGACTACATCCAAAATATAGGCTCGACAGTTAGCATGCAAAACGCTGAGGAATCTAGGAAAATAAGAGTTATTATCATATCCTCGGGAAAGATTTACTTTTGGACAACCGCGAGAGCCTTGGCAATCCCGACCAAGTGTGTAGGCTTTTTTGACTGAGCTCGCCCTGTGAAAAGGAAACGGCCTACGGATTTGTCGTTGGAATAACAGTAATTCTAAGGCGGCTTACATGTGAATTCGGACAAAGCCACATGTGTTTTGGGCTAAACCTCGGCTAAATGGCCTGAAAAAGGCCCCTACACAGATTCATACGGCTAAAAGAAATGTCATCTTTGCTAATATAGAATACCTCTGGTAATTTGTAAAAGTAGGTCTTACGCAATATATGAAATAGATGTGTACAAAAAGACGTGAACTTTTATGTGTGTGTACTTCGGTTGAGCGAAAATCACTCGTATAGAAACTGTAATTATAACGATTACGTGTGTATGTGTCAAACATTTACAATGTACAATAACGCAGATACGTAGTTAAATGTACTCTAAGACGGAGAACAAACCGTGCTTGTGTAACAGAGAAGATCGTGATTGAGCATCTTCAAAATTCTTCTACGATTATAATTATAATACGAAATCTCAAATGAATAAGACTTGGCATCTATTTGCTGCTCAAAATGTATTATTGCTATTGTTGAAATGTATATATAAAAACTGGCCGCATAAAACCTACACGTTATGTCACCAGGACAGATACGAACCCCCTATTTTCCATGCTTGCAAGTTTCATAATTCAATTCTCTGCTTCTTACTGATCGGACTGGCATAGTGTTCGGTTCCTACTTCAATCTACGCGAAAAGGCCCGATGTATCTTCGCTTCATATTTATGATCGTTACTTCTCTTCGTAATGTATTTGAGTTTTTCTAAAAACGTGTACTATCTCTTCAGCAATTGTTTCAAAGTGATAAGAGAATATTTTATTATAAATCTTCTTTATAATTAAAAAATTACTTATAAAAAGTATATAATATGTACTACCTAAATAATACTTAGTTTTGTCATAAGGCAATCCTGTGCAATAATAACGATAATGATGTGTTTGTGTGTGTGTGTGTGTGTGTGTGTGTGTGTGATATAATCTGACTCCCATTCTCTATTGGAATGAAATATCCCTATAGATAATTTACGGTGTAATAACTTAGTAAAAATACTACTATTAGACTTAATGTTCTAGAAAATTAATATTTTCTAGAACATTCTGTTATTAAGTCTGCTTCATCCAATATCATTTAAACGATGCAGATAATTTTTAGCGGCTCACACAATCCGTTAGAGTGACAAAGGTGAAAAATCAGGGAAACACAACAATGTTTTCCATCACAGTTAACCAGCATCCTTCTAACTAAGCGTAAATCTCCAAATAACTGGTAAGACCAATTTTCCGAAGGATCTATTATATAATGTGTATTAAATAATTCCATACAGGACTAGTACAGCCGCCTGTAAAACGTAAATTGGAAAAACAAACAGCTTTTAATCATTAAGGTAGAATTAAGTTAGCTATCGATCTGTTAAAGCACATATTTAATTAGTTTGTCTTATACGACGAAATTCCCACTTTTTTAGTGCGAAACATATTAACTTCATTTTTTTTTTTTACAATTTTTAACTAACTAATGCAAGGGTACGTTTCCAATATATGACGACCCGGGCCAAACTGAAAGCAGATTAACTTATGCGTGTTCAAATCGCATATTGATTGGAGATGGTATCGAAAGAACCTACTTATGCGCTTGTATTTCTGAACAGACCAACTAAGGTACTAAAAAATACGGCCGAAAAGTCGTTGGCTGATAGCAGTTAAACCGATATTTTTAACCTTTTCCTATATAGCGAGCTAGCCTCACATCTCTTCGTTCGGTGAAGTGGTTGACCCCTGGGAAATAATAGAATGCTCCACCTTCAATCCGTCTGATCATCCAGTTTAATTTATTCGCTGCTATAGAGCTCTGTATCGTTTTTGTGCCACTGGTGTCTTGTGCAAAGTCGTAGAGTTCACGCAGTCGATAAACGGTCATCTTCACTGAGGAAGGCACCTCCGCCGTTTTCGTTTCGATTACCAAAGTGTTTCAAGGAAGAACTGTCTGGCAGAATGGGAAAGTAGCTAATTTTGTTTATGATGCTATAAGAAGAGGCATTGCTGCTTAGTTTAAGTAGGACAAATGCTTGGAAGATAAAAAGCAGTCTATGTAAGATCATTTAATCCCTAGCATGCTGAAGAATGGATTACTGATTTCTGGCAGAAACTTAAGAAGTGCACGGATAATGGGTACGCGGTAATGAAAATTTTAGTTCTCTTGCTTGTTTCGCCATAGTGCGTTTACAAGATGGCTCATATAGTAAATACAAAAAAGAAGAGGAAAGTCAGCAAATTTGTTGCAAATAAAAAATAGGGCTTTCTGGAAAACCTTCTTCCTTTGATAATATGTTTAGACTAAATAAGCGTAAAGACGTTCGCGTATGTTCAGTTCGACTAAGACGCGTTTTTGGGATATTCATAAGTTAGAATTAAGTTATTTTCTGAACTTTTGTGTAACTGCAGGTACGTTCTATCAGGGCCGCATGTTAGGGAAGCTGGTGGTGGGCGCCATGCCACTAGCAGTTCACGATGTGAACCAAGATGAAGATGTTCTTCCTGATCATCGGTAAGTAAAAGTTCTGTAGACTTTAGTTTGTGCAGAAAAACCAATTTAGAGCTCTTGCAAATCGACTCAGGTAACAGTATTATTTTCGCATCACGGTTCATGAACGGTATGCCCCTTCAAATGAATTAATATGTATACGAATAATGCCACAATATATGCGACAATCGAAAGTAACTATCAAGAGTTCCGGCCTATAAAACGCATGAGCAGCATCTGTTCAATTTACTAGCGTCATGACTATGAACTTACCAATCCATAACTCTATTAATCCGACTTCCATAATCCGACCCGCAAACGGTTGCCATCTCGCGTCCTTCCGTCTCATTTATCACTCCTAGGATTAACAGGACAGCTGGTACAGTCAAAAACCTTACAGGGGCATTTTCCCAAGCGCAAGACACACTGTATGCATCGTACAAAACTTCTGCCTAGTAGTTTTTCCTCCATCAAAGCCGGCCCGAACCCGTCTATAAGACAAGAACTATCTCACTCTACAATAAACATTACTACAAGCTAGGTTCTCAAAGGCCAGGCGCAGCTGTGTTTCATAAAATGGTGACCATAGCTCATTTTCTGTTTCAGTGTTTCGAGATTGACGCCCTAAAATGTGTTCCTAAAATATTGTAAATTACTTGCATCTTTGAAAACTAAATTAAAAATCTTAACATATAGGAGCTGTAGTAATATACCGTAAACGCAGTATCTTACCAAAGTACTACTCTTGCGTATGACCGTATCGAATGTACCTTACGTAGATATCCATCTTCAAAAAGGACAAGTGCAGTGTCAGATATGTGTCAAGTTATAGCGTAGGTTTTAGTGAATTGGCGAGAAGAACGATCGGCTTATGGCTTTTTAAGCATTGCTCAACTATTACTTCTTTCCAACAGACTAACGTTCGTGGCAGAAAATGTTGGTCAACCAGAAGGATCTGGAGGTGTCAAAAAAATGACCGATCTTCGAAATCAGGCAGTGAAAGCATTTATTGGTCCAGACGAAAGCTGTTTTGCTGAAGCACTTGTTGCCGACGCCTGGAACATGCCAATGATTACATATGTAAGTATGCCAACTTTTTTTTTTTGACTTAGACACATGGGCAGCCTGTGGAGCATACTGCAAAATAACATCTCTTCTTCAATTTTAAAACATCTTCAATGTTTGCCGTGGTCAACCTCACGAATTTACTTAGCTGGGAATAAGTTCAGCTCCTATCGTATTTCGATTGGCGTACAAGAATTTACTTCAGCCCTCGAGCTCTGCCTAGGTATTCGTCGATAGCACAAAAACCTCATAAAATATCAGTGTAACTCCTGATTCATTCGGTTGTTTAATATTCACACGAATTTATTTATTTAAGGACGTTTATTTAAAGGCGGACATTATTGCCTGTGTTTAGTAGTATTACTATTGTTATAGTTATTATACCTTACGGTAGTATACCCCGTTTGTTATGACACACTGTCATACGCAACATATGCGCCCTACACCAATAGCAGACTCGTGATAGATGCGCTGCTTGGTGCGGCCGCGGCCACAGGTGCTGGAAATCATCCGTTTTTGCCCTGGTAATTCCCGAGGCCCACGTGTCTTGCGATCCTATCAAAGCAACCTTACAATCGCGGCAAGGCAACTCTCAAGTCATCGCGGAATCGCGCATCACATATGGTCTCTACCAGCAAATAGCTAGCTGTTCTCACAGCTCCCTTATAGCCGGCTATTCGTTTAACTATCTGCCGCTAAATACGTACCTATATCCACTCAACCCGGTCACAGTTATCTGATACATGTCAAGAGCTTTTTTACGAAGCGTAACACGCACATTTTTGCCCACCCCCTGAAAACTTCTAAACGGATTCGCCCTTTCACGAGTGGAACTATAACTTTTAGATCTAATAAATAATAGTGGTCTGCGATGAATGTTTGAACGCTTTATCGAATTGTACCCTATTTCCGCAGTGTCCCTTCAGCGCGCCACCGAGGGCTTCCTGAACCCGGTCGCCGATCAAACTCTAGACTCCATCCAACACGGACTTGCGAGAAAAGGCAAGAGCAGATAAGCGGGCAGTGAGCGTAATTTCCAATACCACTACTTGTGATCAAACCATAGGCAATAGTAAAAGGCCTAAATACGATACGGTTTAGTTCACTTTCTTTCTGTTTCTCGCGTTACCGATGACAACAGTTGAACTGATGGAGTAAAAAGTGTTATTTTTGCCAATGGAACATCGATTGATAACGAATAGGAGACGGGAAATAGTCTTCCGTCTACCGTTAGTAAAAGAACATTTTTAACCAACGCTTGAACGGTCACTTTCAGTTACTCCTGTGTGTCGAGGAGTATGAAGTTCTATAATGGGCAGTTTGTATATTTATGATATTGTACGTGTCAATACATTCAAAATGCTTGCCTCTTCTGTTCAAATGCTATGGAGTAAGAGCCCAGTGTGTAAATTGGCTATATTTCGTGGTCTTTAGCCCAGCAATAGGCACAGTTTTAGAAAGTTCGGAGTGAAGCACTTAACTGCTAGCTAATGAAAGTTATATTATAATCACTCACTACTGGTGAAAACAATAATTTTGTCGAGCAACCAGCTAGCACGCGTTTCGTTTTTAGCGGCTTCAATAATTGATATTATCATAGTAGAAGAACGTCCAAATTTTAAGCAGCTAAAGAGCCGTATTAGGAAAAAATAAGGCTCTATTCCCTCTAATAGGGTTCATACTTATCAAGCGAAATGAGTAGCAACACAAAAATTGGTTAGTCGATGTGACCAACGGTAAATAGTAAGAAACAATGAAACTTGTTGTGATCAGCTTGAAGTGTGAACAGTAGCTTTGAGGGAGGACAAAAAAATAGCAATATCCTTATAAATCGACCACTTATATTTTTGAAACAGAACTATCTTCAAATTTACCCCCTGGGAATATATAGATATATCTTACACTGCATTTGCGTATGTATTACAAGCAGTGTTATTTAGCATTACTTATGTATAGATCGACATGTAAACGTAGTGGCTATCAGAGAGTTAGGTCTAATTTAACGGCTCATTGTTGCGGCTGACAATTTTGGCATCGAACTTACGAGATGTGGGTTTTCTGTTGATAAGTGTTGTTCCTTTCCCAGCTACAAGTGGACAAGATGAGACTACTTTACAACACAGACGAATTTCGAGTACAAATAGATTCGTCTCATCTATGAGACGAATCTATTTGTACTCGTCCTTTAAACGACAAATTTCTAGGTCAGCCTAGGTATCATCTAGGTCAGTCTAGTAGTAGTATCATCGAGCACAAGTCTAGAAGAAGGCAGATCAAAAAACGTACTAGATATCCGAAAAGCCACTTGAAAGATGATCGTAGACAACGGCACTGACTCGTCGTGGTACGCCTTTTTTCGAGCCTATAGACGGGAAAACAGCTCGTCCTTCTGATTAGTTAGAGCCTACAATAGTTTATTCGACAAGTAACATCATATTCGCATTGCGCGCATAACGTCTTCTTCTGGACCACTATCTTACAAGGTGGGCGAACCGTGAAAAGAAATGGTTCTGGGCTCTCAGCGGTACGAACTTGCTTTAATTTGAAGCCATAATGATACAGGTGGTATTAGCTAAAAGGGTGCAGTGTTATGTGTTATGATATTGAGTGATCTGCCTGTAGGCGAGGTAATCATCTAGGTTTTTTTGCGCTCTGATCATATGGCCTAACGTCTTTATGGTGATGGGCATCGTTTTTGGGACAGATGTGTTACGACCAGCGAGTGAGCCGTGGCAAAATTTTCAAGACATTTGCCCGTACGTTGCCTTCAAGCTCAAAGGTGAGTGTGTGTATTTTTATATATTAAATATGTCAGCGAAACCAAGTCTCATAAGTTTAGCCGATAAGGTTCACAGTTTAAATATCAAACGAACAACAAAAAGGTGCGGATCAATGTTTGTTTTGAAGTACAGAGGGTGCAATCGCTGGCTATCATGCCGAGTTTCTTATTAATATGTATCTTGTATTGCCTTGACCAACTGTCTGCAAAATGTCAAAGGAAGGCGCACAATTAGTAAATCTAAACTTTTTTCTAGTATTCTCCGTAATAAATATGTTTACACTTGATGCGTTTATAGGTGAGCAAAAGTGTCATCGCCTTATTGAAGTATTTCGAATGGACGCGGGTGACCCTTGTCGTGGCGGAATCAACAACCTACGTGCAAACTCATGTGGTATGAAAAGGCTTTCAATATCCTATTAGCTTTCTGGGACGGTGTTCACTCTTGAGATGGCTTCTGGGACGGGTTTTGTTCGGTGAAGGCCGTAAAGAAAAACGTACGCAAATTTGCTAATTAGTTTTGTAGGAAACAACGCCATTAAAACAGGTATTAGCGAACTTTTCTGCTTGCATAGATACCTTCACGCGTCAGTTGTCTTCTTATCAGGCCGGTTCTTACGGTTCTTATCAGGCCGTACACTCTGCAACGAGGGAGAGACACATGAGGACTGCTTACCATAAGATATCCACCGCTTACCGTGACAAATGCCGTCTTGATTCTCGAAGGAGCTAAAACCAGAAGTTTAATGTCAAGAGATATTTCACACTGTGAATGTCTCTTCAGATTAGACAATTTTTATCTATGACAAGTATGTACTGTATATAATTTTAGTAAAATTCATTCGTCTATTTTGAAGAAGAGAAATACTTGCCATGAGATAATAGGCTAGAAAAAAAACGCATGTCAACCTAACATGATCCGTGAAGATAGAATGGAAAAATAGATTACTTCATCGATATGTGGCTTTTGAGAATAATAAGCGTAGCAAACACATTGAAGCTGCATGTGCGTTTCGTTAAATTAACACCCGTATGTTATTACAACTTCTGTTCAAAGAAAAAAGCCTGTCGTGGATTGTCTTTCTATTAAACCATTGTCGGGCTATTAGCGTAATAGCCTGAAAAGGCAAAGCTAACGTTCGGCTAGCCGTTCGTCGAATACTCGGGAGTTATAATCACAGAGTCAGCCCAGCTTCATTGTTTCCATCCGGGGTCGAGAGTAAGGCTGACGACGACGTTAAATTGATGACTATCGCTCCCTCTCATTGTGTTACTTGCCCGTGCTAACAAAACACGGTCGGTGTCAGCCAACCCAAAAAAACGAACGGTGAGTTCTCTACTTATTTATGAAAAAGTGCGGGGCGAAATGAAATATAGCGGTTTGCAGCTAATAAACACTAAACTGCATCTCAGATGATCACTGTCCAGTTCCGGACGCAAGGTATGTGAAGGCCAATAAAGCCTATCTAGCGGTACTAACCAGTATATTTCGCCTTGAGGTCATGGTAGCTGTCGTGGTATAGGCAACTCAAACGGTAACCACTGGCAAAGCTGTCACATTCAAATTCTAGCCATGCCCCTCGCAAGGAGCGCATTAGCTCCGGCCTCGAATACACTCCACCTACAAGAACCGGTATCTTTCTCTAATAGAAATCAAACGACTTGGGCGGATGAGGTCTTACTATAGCTGTTCTCACAAGTTCACTGTGACAAAACAAAGACATGGCGTCTTCGACAGGCGTCCGCTTGCTGGACGAATACTGAGTGTAAACTGCAAGATATGTATCGATCGACGGGACTATAGTCTATGCTTTAATACTCTCAGAAGTCGATACGACACTGTGACCAGAGCATTAGACTTCACAGAGCTCTACCCCTCACTTACGCGATGGATCTCTTGTACACCCTGTATGCGTACTGATACGCTGTGAATCCTACCTAGCGAGGCGTCGGTCCCGTTATTAACGATCTCTGAATAATGTTCAGTTAAAGTTTCCGCCAGAAAATTGAAATATTAATTAAAAGCTGTGGCATTCACAGATAGATCACGCTGTGCCTGTGCTTGCGTGTACCTGAAAGCGGTCGACGTGACTTTCCACCGTGAAACGATAACGTGACGTAAATATCAACATATGAAAACCAAAGGGGAATCAATAACCAGAGATGAGACATTATATTAATTTCTGCTCAAAGTATATATTTCTGTTATATCGGCGTTTATTCAATCTGTTCTTTCACTCTGGTAGCGTAAAGGTTTTAGCAGATTTCGGCGTTACGCAATAGACGCATCCAGTTCAGACGAAGTGAGGGTTCACAATACAGAAAACGATTGATTTGAATCTATTTGTCTAATTGGCGTAGACGCTTCGAGTACGGTGACTGTTCATGCGATAGCATGCTTACGTTGCTGTCCTACTCTGCAATTACCCTGAGATCGAAGATAACTATAAATTAAGTCTCTTACCTATACGTTTACAACGACACCAGTCATGAATTCTACATTCGGTGAACTTTGTTCTTGCTTTATTTCTTTAGTTCTGGTCATTTCGTCCATACGCGCAGAGGCAAAAAGGAGCTAATACTGTTATGAGGAAGTATACGTCAACATAGAGTAGAGTCACAAAAGACGATCCGTCAAGTTCATCCTTTTTGGCAGTCGCTAGAGTTTACCTGACCTGCTAGTTGCTATCGTATAATTTTGTTGACATTGTGAAAATCAAATGGAGAACTTAAGCATCTGCATGAAATTACTCGCCCCATGTTACCTTACTTGACAGCATCCTTCTCTTTTAAACCATATTCGAACAGCTGTTCGTGGATTTTACAGCAGACACAAGTGCGAATGTTTCTTCCATTGAGTACGGCAACTGCCGAACGCCGCTTTTAACATTGATGAGTTTGTCATTGCTTCTAATAAAGCACAGTCTACTGTATTCCATCATGTTGTTACTTGGTCCTATCGCTGTCACGGATTTAGGTTTTGGTCGATCTAGCGAAGCGGCACAACATCACAGTCACCAGCACATACATGATCACGGGCGACTACATGGAAACGAACGTCGACAACCTCCACCGAATCGTGCAGGACTCGTACGAAATTACTCGAAGTAAGTTACCGCATGACCATCACACAATGCTATGCGCTGGCTAAGTCGTCGCCGTCGTCGTTTCCCGTTTCTGTCCCTCGCATTTCGGTCTTTCCATTCGCTTGCTCCCGCCCCACTAAATCATTTATTACATTTGTAACGGTAAGATAAAGGCACGGGCCTTCAGGGAACGTAGCAGTGGTTCCTCTAACGTGCTCGGCACCATCGGCGATGTGACTAAAGGCGACGGGTATCGATTTGCTAAGGCTCCTTCATAGCTGTGGTTGTAGTTTCTTCTCATAGTGGTAAAAATAAAAGTGAGAATTATAGTACAACGATCAGCAACAGTCAAAGTAGCGCGATGCTGCTTGTAGGAGTATATGAGAGGATAGCTTTAGAGCTTTGCGAAGTCCATAGGTGACAGTTCACAAAGAAGTACTACGTAAGACGTAGGTAGGCGGCGATGGGAAGAAATAATGCAAAGCGAAGGAAAAAAAACCACCGGAAATGGCGGAAAATAAAAATCCCTAAAAGCGGAGGGCGGGATGAAACATGAATTATAGGTTTATAGAGGATTATAGGCTTGAATGGCAGTAGTATCTGTTGCTTCGAGAAAAAATAAAAATAAAAGTGTGATTAGGTTGCCTGCTTTCTCTTGATACAAAAATGAAAAACATTCCGTTCATGTCTGGGCTACTGATATTTGAGTTCGGGACACGATTTCAAGATGGATGACCACTATATAACTCTGTAAACTTTTGTAAATCTGTTAGGCGTCCTAGAGACGAAACTTCACGGCACATTACGCCTGCTGGGTTTTTCGTTATCTCTGCATTCCTGCGCTTTTATAACACGCGATACCTATGATTCAGATCAGTTTTTTTAGATCATACTTTTTATGATCTAAAACATTTTATACGGGATGTTTCACGGTTTGAAATTTATATTTGAGAGGCGTGGGAAAGCTCACCAAAACAAAGCAAGCCCACTCTAATAGGATAATAAGACGCTAATACATCATTTACCGCTAAAAGTTGAAATTTGTAACAGATATTACACGACAGATGTCGTTTTAGAAAATCGTAGGAGTACGGCTGCAGAAGTATGGACACGCGTCTGTAAGGAATAGTTCGTTTTCTTTATTCAGTGGCCAGTTCGAATCAGTAAATGGTAGCAATAAGCCAACAGAAGGCTGTAGCGAACATTTTTTTCGACCTTGTCAGGTATTGTTATAATAGAGTGTTCGGCAGGAAGCAAGAACTTGCCAATTCTTAGATAGGCCTACCTATATATTTGGCAAAATAGGGAATAGATGCCAATCAGAAAGTGGTCTCCCATATTTTTGAAAAGAACAGTTCCTATCTCAGACAGTTGTTTTAATGCCTCAATCAAAAAATTAAGCCTTTTTTGAACTCAATTAATGCATTGAAAAATATGTTGTAGTATTCGTTGAATAAAGGTGTTCCAGCGTTTCGCTGTTATCAGCGGCAATAGTGTGGTATCAGTTAAAAAAAAAAAATGCTCTAGGTTTTACGCGCAAATAAGTGTAAACTGAAGGCAAGAGTTTCCCTTGCAGAATTATATTCACATGAACGCAGTAACACACGCATAGGTAAGTAATATTTATCAGATCCTTTATAAGCCGATTGACAGCTGGGAGAAATCAACTTCAAATTTTGGGGCTACCTAAATAAGCCAGTAGAAGGTGTGCTACATGGTCCTCGCTGACGGAAGAGGTAGCAGCCCAGTCTAAAAAATATGGTTGTAGATGCAGCTAGACAACATGGTGCGGCATAATCGAAATTCTTCAATTTCTGTTTTTGTTTTTATCTACATCTACAAAATGAGTCTACATTCTGCTGACGGATACACATGCCTTGATCGACTTCGTTGGTGTAATGGAAAAAAAGGGGTTACTGGCGGCAGGCGAATACGTCATTATTTCCGTCGAAGAAGACGAAATCTATAACCCGATGGTGCATTACCAGTTTATGATCAAAGGTAAACCATGACTCCGACTCACTTTCGCAAGTGTATAAACTGCGGGAAGCTTACTGTGAGAAAAAAAGGCAGACGAAGTTCAAGCTATCCTGTAATCTGTCGTCGATGACCGTTAACAAAGTTCTTTCATGATACTTTCCCTGAACTTATTCTGGTCGTTTTCGACGCAAGGCATGTGGTTTCGATAACTCCAATGGTCTATTGGTTTGACCGTTGCGTTTAATTGCACTTGCCAGAGTGGGATCGGCCGCATTACTCACGTTTCGATGCAACACCGTTCCGATCGGTGCTGATGATAACGCCGTGTGCTCCACAGCTCGAGACCTATCAGAAGTTCCAGGAAAACGTTCAGAAGTTTGCAAGCCAGCCACCTCTCTGTATTCCGTTTCATCCCCGTGTTCAGGTAAGAAACAACTTTATTGACTGGCATGTCGGTTCGCTCGGACTAGAATACTTCCGCCATAAGCAAATCCGGCGGGATTACTGAATGACTATTTTTCAATGTACGTTAGAGGTGCTCTTCTATATTTTTTGCACTCTGATCCAAATTTTGGCAGCTTCGGAACAGCCATGTACGTATAGTTTGCGTATTTGATATCTCTATCCATGACTTGTCGAAGTAAAGTGATAGTAGGATATGCTTGGCATTTTTTTATCGTATCATACGGACGAGAATGGACGGGTTGAAGTCAACGTCGGATATGCTTTTGTTCAATTCGAAACGTACTTAAAGCATAGCCCCGAAGCTTGGCATTGTCACGAAGTGCCCGAACTATGTGCTTTCGATTGCCAAATGGAATGAGTCCATGAAATAGCAGATTGCATTTATTAGCTCATTTTCGGCGAGTACCTCAGAGTAGCAGATGCCGCTGATGCTTTTTTTTTTTCTAAGTACTACTATCATCTTAATGCCCGGACACTGCTCAACACAGCCAATAAATACGATTTTTCTTCAGAACGACGCCATTTGCTCACTCAGTCTCTCTTTGGCTGGCGGCAAAGAATGAAGCACACCTCGTCTAAGGTGACCGTATGGTCCAGGGAGGTTTTTTGTTGATTGAAGTTCCGCGATTTGCACATTGAATACACTGCTTGCATTTCCTATTGGCCTGAAGTCAACCCATTTTCGGTATAGTTTTCGCATTAGATTATGATTCTGTAACACTATAGATGTAAAATGCCAGTTTTGGCAGTTTTTACGGTTCAAGCTTTGCTTTCCTCGGTTGAGGTAATGCATTTTTGTACCGCAGGTTCCTCGATCTAACAATTTTTTCGCTGGCTTTCAATACCCCAACCTCCGTTCTTTAAACACTTGCACCATTCACGTTCTGCTTTTTTGCTTAATGCTCGCTTGCCTGATATCTTCATTGAACTTTCTGTGAATTTCCGATGAACAAATCTGGACCACTAAGCGTTGATTTTTGGAACTAAAAAGAAAACTAATTTCTCTTTTCTGAACTAATTTCTTCTTAAGTAAACTTAATCAGTTTTCGTTCGTAAGTTTTCAGAAGGCTAGAGCAATTACCAGTTATATTTCTTCTACTACTCGTATCTAATTCGAAATTTATTAAGTTTTAAAGTCTGCGGGACTTATTTGTTATAACTTGATAATTATTACCAGTATAGACGGATCATGGAGGCAGTGAATTTAGCTAGGTTCAGCTCAGTAGCTGTGCTGCATTCTAACCTTGTATGGCAAAATTTCATTAGACCTGTACCAGGTTTATAGGCGGTAGATGATACCTAGTCTATCGTTACACTTTTGCCCCCATGTCCAAGCTACTTAGATACGTTCCAATTAATAGTTAATTGCTAGTAGAAATGAATCCAGCTGACAGCGGTATAGATTTCTAGAGATTCAGTTGTTTTCTTCGAAACGAAAACATAAATTACATAGAAACCATGAGGGGTTCCAATAGGTCTTGTTGTCTAGCTCTAGATGGTAGCTATACTATAATGAGTGGACAATAATCCGTTTCTGGCGAAGTGGAAGGCATGGTTGTGATGAAAACAGGTACTTACTAAAACATTAATTAAAAACGCTTTGTTGTTAATCGCAGGTAGATATACCTCCATACGCAGCGATGGCGTACGATGCCGTCTGGCTGTATGCGCGAGCAGCAACGGAGCTTCTCAAGAGAAACCAGAGTCTCGAAAATGGCACAGCCTTAATCGATGTCATCAGAAATAACGTGTATAGAAGTATGTTTTCAGCATGATTACATCAGTATACTACCCATGGTAAAAATCGTGCTGTTATTGGTTGGATCCAAATACACCCTGTTCAGATCACGGCTTTCATATACTGGAGTGAGATGTCAATGATATATAGGGTTTTTGAAATAAGAAATCTGGATAGTAAGTTGGGTTGGGTTGGGTTGGAAAAAATCAAAGCACCTTCTTATCACACACAGAACAGCGAAAACAGGTGCCAATTTAAGAATTTTGTCTCGACATCGCGTTTAACTGCTGTTAGTAAAAAGGATTACCTTAAGCCAGTTCTTTCTTGTCGAGCGTAGGGCTCTTTGGATAGCTTTTTTCTAATTTTTCTTCCTGGAATAATTTCTATTTGTTTAAAATAGGTTTAGTTCTCTCCAAGCGAAGTGGCGTTCACCTATTTTTATATGCATGGTTCGAGTCAGAGCAGATAGAACACACAATTATCGTTTCGTATAAGGAAGGCGAACTTGCCAGCCATTTATGAAGAAAAAAAAATAGATAAGGATTTTTGTTCAGCTTTATGAAATTTTGTTAAGCTCGCCTTGGTGGATGCCAGATTAGGCCAAGCTCTGGCCGAATTCTTAAAAACTCTCTGAAAAACATTTAACCCTTAATCAACAAGGTAGGGAGTGATCAATTCAAGCGCAGAGTCGATGACACTTCTTTCAAATGGAGAACTCCCGGAAAGTGTGCCACTGAAGCACGTGAAGGACCACTTGATGCGCCTAGAGAATATTCACGACTTCTTTATTATAGCAGGACATTGTTTTTATAGGTCAGTATTATCATACGCTGTGAGTATTGACAGCTCAAGAAATGCAATATTTCCTGTGTCAGTTATTATTTAGTTTTTTTCTAATGTTGGGAATAATTACTAAATAACAAATAAGGAAAAGATTTATTCCTTCTGTCATACGGCACAGACGCCGTAATATAGCAGCGTGTTTTCCGCTGAGTGGTTTCTGCTTCTAATCCCATATCCGATGCGGCCGTTACGGACGGCTGGACTGAAGCACAAAATGCCTACGCCCGTTTTCAAACCGAGACCACTTGGCGAATCCCTGACTAAAATAGCCAGCACGTTACCGCTACAACTAGACAAAGTTATGGGTAAAACATTTCGCTAGTCCTAAAAAAAAAGGTTCTTGAACGAAAATCTAGAGTTAGCCGAATGATCAGCGTCAATAAATGTAGAGCCGCTGGTCATCTGCTACCAGTATTTACACTACTTGGAAGTGTCATTATTTTGGCACGGTTCCTTATGCTTGGACTTCATACGAACTTGATTTTTCTAAACTTTTCCAGAATGCGCAATTAGTTAGTACTTATGATGCGTCCATTAGGGGAGAAGGGTCTGTGGGGGGCTGGCATCTTCTAGAAACCATCTTTTAGTCGAATCCGTTTGAGCATGAACGTCGATAAGCACCAAAGAAATACAGTGTGATTAAAACGGGCAAATGTTTACATTGTGTCAAAATAAAAGGAAAACCTATTTTTTTTCCACTGATTTTCGAATGAATCCCATCAATCGTTATCTAGAGTTTTATGAATATAGTTTGTCAGTTCGTTTAGGGTGGCTGAAATCTCTAGTTCTGCTAGCAATTATATCATCTAGCCAATGAGAAGCTCCAGCAAAATTCCTCAATGTGTGGAGCTCTCCAATAGCTGTGTTGCTCGGTAGTTTAGTTGGCTAATGAGAACGATCTTTGGGGATTATATCAACAATGCAATTTCCTGTTTTTACCTGTAGATCAATCAACCATCCAAGGTCGTGCTAAAAGATGAGACTACGCCATGTGTCAATTTAAACATCCTACCAGATCGAGCTCTAATTGGCCCGTTTTTCATCGCAAAAAGAGATTAGCCCCTACTACATGCCTATACAAGTTTCCGTTACACGTTTCCTGCTACACGGATTACCGGAGATTAATAGCCGACAGGCGAAAATAGAAAGACACCAATCCAATGCTTTCGCGAACAGTTTATTGCCTCGAGAAAGAGGCCGAAGATCGCATTGCCGCGGTATCTTACGTCTCTTACAATCGTTGCTCGAGATGATCTTCTTCTGAGAGTCTTGAATGGTTTCTTCAACATGATCAATGAAGTCAGCTATAAGTGCTGTTTGTATGTTTTTCTATATTCATATTGTCATCGACACGTATCAGGTGTAATGGGCTTCGATATCCAAGTCGACGAGAACGGTGATTCAGAAGGAAATTATACGGTTCTTGGTTTCGCCAACGCGTCCGATGAACATCTCTCGCCTGTTGGAAGGTTTTCCATAGCTCCTACGGATGCCGGCTCGTCGAACGGCACTAATGGTGGAGAACTACTACCTGTAAGTAGGTTTCTAGACGCCTTTCTGCATCGTTTCGTTTTAGGTGATCGTCGTCATAGTTAGAATTAGATCACAGGGTAATGAAGGACCGGCTAGTGGATAGTAGACTAACTTTTGATGGTTACCTGACTAGCCTTAGGGCTCTCCAGCAAATTAGAGTAACTAAACGTACCAGACTATTATGACAGTAACGGCATTTTCATATGGCACTTCTCTTTGCCCGGTCTTTGTTTGCTGATAATGAAAGATGCCCTTTTTAGTTTTGCCAGGTATTTTCGAGGGTCATATCTCGCTCGAAGACTCAAAGCACCTGCCACATCTATCCCAAGCGATTTCGTCAGCTTTCTGACACTGCGATAAACAAATAAGGAACGCTGACGATGGCGTTTTTTACTGGTAGCCGTCTTTTAGGTTCGAACTCAGACTATGGCCCGGTGATCTGAACAAAACTACTGCAGGCAAATCCAGAGCTTTTCAATGGCTTAATAACAGCAAGTTAACAAATGAAAAACAGAAACGAGTAGCAATAATTAAGAATGGCCATTATTTTCTTAACAAAGAAAGCGTATCGAGACGCCGTGTTTTTTCAAGACATCGACACACTGTCGTGCAGACCAGCCCGCGTGCTTTTGAAAAAGTTGCCCATACAAATTGCATGAACGAATGTATTTAGCCGTGATACGTGATGCTGCTCCGCTCAGAAAGTACAAACAGCTATGCGTTATTGAACGATATAGTCGTATATATAACATTGTCTTACGTTTACAGATCTTCCAGTTAGAAAGCGAGCTGGCGTGGCTCGGAGGACGACCCCCACTGAGCGAACCGCGTTGCGGATTCTTCAAAGAAAAGTGCATTTCCGATAAAGGTAATAAATAAAATTCCGATAAACTGCTATTGCAGCGCGTTTGGAGGCGAAATACGAACCTCATACTCCTGGAGGATTTTTTACTCCATATTTACTATTGACATCGATTTAGAAGCGATCTCTATTGGGTGATAGGGTTATGTCTATAGGGACTATCATAGCACACTCGTACACCATGGTGCTCTCATGTAGCTTTTTTAGTTTGCCACTTTAGACGCTCGAAAAAGGGAATATTTATTTAAACAAGAGCTTTTAGGCTTCATATGAAATGTAGTCGAATGACACAATTAAATCTGTAGGAAGAACATGTATTTTCTCCCTATTTAACGTCTTTTGAATACTTTAGCACACCTACTGTTTTATACTGACTTATTAATTCTGCAAAAGTAATTTAAGAGGAGTAGGCTTCCTCTTGATTAGAAACTAGAAGATCCTGACTGAAGTTTCATACTGCCATGGTAAATTATCAAAACGTGACGCGTTGTACCGCGAGACGAGGTTTTGACATCTTGGAAAAGATCTGACCAATCAGAAAGTGACTATTTATTGTATCATGATAAAACGTAGCAATAACAGATTCGATCAGGATAGCAACCCGATGCATACCCGGGTCGTTGCTACTAACAGCCACCTGTTGTCGGTGTTGCATACGTTCATATTTTCTATACGAGCGCAATTATTAGAGCTAACTAGAACTTCCAAAGTGTTTTGGACGTCGACTTTCAACCCCGTGTTATTTTGTATAATACGATTCACCGTTTCGCTTCGAAATCCGGTAAAATAATCCGTTAGTGAAACAAATCTACAGATATCTTGCCAATTTACTCAAAATTTTAATATTAATTTGTTTTAATTTAAATAATTAATAGATTTGTAATAGACTTTTGCAAATTTCTGCTAAAATATATTATTTTCTTCAAGTTAAAGTTCCTCTCTTATACACTTTTCTAACTAGGCCGAATTTCTTTAGTGGCTCATATTTTGGGCAGCGCTGGCAATCGATACTGTCCACTGTTTCGACTGGCTGTACAAAAGAAAAAAATGCTAGGGGGGTTTCGAACTTTGCTTGCATGTCTGGCATTACCCTTGAATAATTCTATAGTCATTATTATTGGAGCTTCTATTGTCCCTGGGTTAGCAATTCACTAAAATGTCCATTGAAAACTGCTATAATTAATTATGAATCATTTCAGATGCACTTGTAGCTTCATTTGACGGTGCCTGGGGACTAATTTTGCTGTCAATGCAAGGTAATTCATTGGGCCGACAATTCGTCTTTGTGGCGGACTGGTGAGGTGATGTAATTTTGGCGTTTCTAATTATTTTGTGGTCCTTGACGGTCCTTATCGGTGTAGCAGGTGGTGCAAGGAAGCGTCTTCTTGAGCAATCCCACCATAGGCACCTGCGCTCAAAGCGACCACCGTTCTAAGGTTTTCTAAGATAATGGGCCTACTTGAGAAGATCTTTAAATGAAGATAATTTCTCTGCGGCCCTTTATTAAAACATGAGAAAATTAAACAGGCAAAGAGGGTTAACCTTCGTAAAGGCATTGTTCATCTCTAATTGATTACCTTTTGCCATTCCTAACAAGTACTTACTTACAAGTACGATTGACTGTAACTTACCAAGTACGAATCCAGCTGAAGCAATTTCTGCTGTAGTGGACAAACACTGCCGTCTTACGGTGATTTCATTACTATTGATACTCTGGACAGATGGCAAGTGACTACAATACAATACAGCCTTGTCTATGTAACACAAGTTCCGTTTCTAACAATACAACTGGTCAAGCACGGGACTCTATGAACGTTACTCAACTTCCACTACTTCTACCGAGGTAGAATCACAAAGAATCGTCAAAAAAAGATGTTCCTGTTTATTCCGATGTTTATTATGCTGATATCTAAGCAAGTTCTCGTTTGTCGTAGCATAATGCACTAATAAACTTAGCGGATCGAGATTGAACTCGACTGTTTTTCATCAACGAGTCCGCGCGTCATTAATATGACTATGAATTGTTTGCACGGCGTGCTGATAGAGTGTTAGTCGCGCTAAGTAGTCGAACAAGTTTTTTGACAAGCTTAAACAAATCTTCTGATTATGTAGTGCATTTTCAGGACTATATCTTGCTTAGGTCCCACACTGGCCTATAGGCATATAACTTCTATCATAGTAGCATGATTCACGAGCCTTTCTGGTACGTGAGTGCTGTGTCGTCGTTTCGTCATAGTGATATTTCGTACTTTTTTCCCGTCGCTCACCCGTGCGTCGACTGTGACAGCACTTCTAATGCTAGTTAATGCGGCCAGTAAATATTGGCATTATTTTTTTTTTTCCTTAAAATGTATGTATCTATAGACTGGCGCGGTGTTCTAGTCATCACTTCGTGCATATCGATTGTACTTGCCGGATGTCTGGCGCTGGCACGCCACTACCGTTACGAATATCGGTTGGCAAAGTTACTCTGGAAAATCGATATCCGAGACGTCCTGTCCCTACCACATCTTCAGTATCAGCATCAGCCGCAGCACCTTCAGCAGCAGCATCCTCAGCGGGAAAGCGCCAGTGGAAACCATTTGGGCTACCCCCAGCGACAGCAGCCCAGCAACTACGCATCACAACAGCGTCAAAACGGCATTTCAAGAGCGACTTCGCTCCCGAACTGCAACAGGACCACTCCCCCATCGACGAACCCTCGAGCTGTAAGTGTGATTAACATTCAAAAACAAAAACGATCCCTGTATCTATGTGAGCATATACTTTATTGTGTTTGTTGTATATTAAAACAGAATGTATCTCAATGTGTTTTACCGATTGGGTCAGGTTTTCAGTTGCCCAATATTAACTGATACGAATGTATGGGGATTAGCATTTCGCGCCCTCCTAGCACCGAGGGAGGATTTCCGTTCTCTTCATCATTTGCCACAGCAGGCTTATGGTAGCAGAAACTATCAGCCAACAGTATGCACGTCACGATGGATTCGGTTATTCTATTTCGTATGGCCACTAAACGATGTCTCATAAGAGAACAAAAACATTGTCCATGTCACTGCACCGACGTTGTCGCTTGGTTTCTTTACCTGAGCGAATTCGCGTCGCAGGAGGGACAAATTGAGCCTACTTCTTAGCGATATTCGAGCCATATGGCTTTTATTTGTTCATCAGCATAGTCTCAAGGACTGGTAGAGTACGTAGCGTCGGCCCGTCTAGTTTGTGTGCCTTGTGCTTTTTTTATCCCGTCTAGCACGTCAAGAACATAGGTCTTCTTAGATCACGCACCGTATGTTCCGCACGCTGTTGGCCGACCTGCAGCTGCTGCTCTGAGAGTCCTCTTTCTTCATGAAAGAATAAATTATCTCTCAACAGAACATCACTAGAACGCGTTCGATTAGTGCCAGCAGGAAGCGTTGTCTGAACGCCCGGACGACTCGCTAAAATCGAATGGCATTATCGCTTTGCGACCGTGAAACAGATTGCGCAGTTATCTCTATTTGGAATTGCTACGTCTTCTATGTAGCCTTCAAATCGTAAGAGGTTGACAAAACGATGGTTTGTAAATAAAGGCATCAGATAGACCGCACAACAGCGCAAATAAGGCAGCGTTTTCAATTCCGTCTCTGGAGTAGGTTATTTCGAATTGTTCGAAATAGAGGGATTGTGTTAGGTTTCTAGTATAATATCTAGCTTTTATGAACTAACTAAGCAAATAGTTCGAGGTCAAGTAGAGCAAGTAGCTTGCTGCTACTTAAGCGTGAACAGAGTAATAGGACTGATCAGGTCTTTGACGTAAATTGTCATTTGTATTATAGCACTTATTAATATCTCGTTGTGCTGCCTGGCAGACTATATTTGCTAGCGAATCCCCAGCAAGCTTACCGACAGGCATCTGTCCGGATGAAGATTCCTACGAGCCAACGGATGCCGATGGAGGCTGTTCTCGTGTATGCTTCTACAAGGGAAATATGGTTTTCATCAAGCCCATTTATAAGAAGAGTATCGACCTTACAAGGAGCATTCGAAAAGAGCTCATTCAGGTAACGTATCCGTTAAACTGCGGTGCTAGTGTACTAAGACATATAGCAGTAGCTTCGATACGTTTGCGGTTCGGTAGGATTGAATTTTTTAGGAGCTTGTCTGACAACCCGTGTTTTGCATGCGCCATTTGACAGAGTAACATATGGGCGTAAACAATCGGATACAGTTCTGCAGGTTTTCATTTGCTCGAATCGGTTCTAGCCTAGTGCCGGAGAAACAGGCCTATTGGCACGTGGAAAGTTGACAATGACATTCGCTGTTTGCTTCCTGTGAAGTCAGAAAGGTCTTCAAGTAAATGTTAAAGTAGTAAAATTGTTTCTGAGTTTTAACCACTGCTTGTATCTTTAACCACCAGATGCGCGAGATGCGCCACGAAAACGTCAATCCCTTTATTGGAGCCTGCGTCGACCCGCCAAACATCTGCATTTTTACCTTGTACTGCGCCAGGGGGTCGCTTGAGGTACGTACGAAACAGCAACAGCTGAACCTATCATTGTACTGTGCCTTAACATGTGACCTAATTTGAACGAATATTCCATTATATCAACGAGACTTAGACAATTTATCGTATAGTTTCCATGTCAACATCCTGTGGGGACCTTCAAAGTACTTCTGTTGAAAATTAACTGAAACGGAAGATATCCGTATCGAATGCATAGAACGGAAACGAGTCCTTTTTGCAGAGCGACACGAAGCTCGTGTCTGAATTATCGTAAACTAAACGGCTTGCAAAAGTTCAAGAACCAGCTCAAGTGAATGTCGAGCATATACACTTCAAATGGGCTCGTAAATGACAATTATCTTGATAAAGGAACTTATGGAAATCTAGTACTTTCCGTGTTGTTGGGTGCAAGCTTTAAACAGTTCGCGTTGTGCATATCAGTGATGAATCAAGTTAGCTTGTGGTGCTTCATCTCTGCTGTCTCCTATAGGCCTACTCCTTCCTGTTTTTCAGTAGCCGAACGATCGTCCATACGTACAATTGCCCAAAGATCATACTAGCGGCAGCAGCAGCTGCTAAGCAGTAAGTAGCAGTACAACGGACCAATAAAGCTAAATATGTACAGACGTCTAGTTGTCTTTTTACGTGTGCAACGAAGTCACACTGCAGATTTTGCCCCATAGCACATGTGTGTCGCACGCAAAATGGAATGGGATGAGGGGCCGATATTAATTTCCTTGTGCTTTTCTCGCTCCTCCTTTCGTTCGAGGGTTCGCCTGTTGCCTTCTGGGGCAGCTAGTTGTTGGTCGCCCGCGGCATCTCTCAACCAGCGACCATGCAAGTTCTGTCAATAACAGCCGTGTTCGGAGGCTCGGCTTTTGTTTGCTGTTGTAAATTGCGCTGGCCGGTCACTTCCTGTTATGCGCTAAGCGAGACCCTGGCGCGGCCATTGCCGTTCCATCGTGCTGCGCGGCTGCTCTAACGTTCGGTGCCTTCTTATGTTGTATTGTAAGACGTGTTTGCTCATGTTGACTTTGCTTACTGCTCAAACGACCGTGTTCCGAGCTTTTTTAGCTGTCTGCGCCTCTGCTGTCGTACGGCGGTGATTGTCCCGCGTCGCCCTGCCAGACGGCTTAGTTTAGCTTTACGCTTTTATACTGAAAGGAGGGCGCGTTATTGTCATGATTATGCGGTTGTCGACGCCTTATTCAGCTGCAAGTATGAAGCGTCTACGTTATGGCATTGCTGGCTCAACCCGTTGCCGCCTTCAACGTCGTATAGGGTTGCGATGCTGTTGTGCGATTCGCGCCCGATGTAGAACGATTATGTTAAATCTTCCGGCCAAGAGTTTGGCCTATGTGGCTGTAGGTCTGTGTACGAGCTTAGTCCCATGTAGAAGCCCTAACGTGACAGACTTTAGTTTGCACCATGTGTCGAAGTACGGTACGGTTTTTTGCTGTAGAAATGCAATTGAGCCCATTATATGGTAGGATTAGGCTAGTCTATATGGATGTTGCCACGGTTGCCGTGTCGATTATCATTTATTGATAGGTAAGTTTGCGCAAGAGTAAAATGCTTTGTAAGTTTTACAAGGGGACGGCTACAACACGTGATGGCGTTTAGCTCTTCCGTTAGCATTATTATACGTATATTAAACACAAGATGTCGCTAATAAAAACGAAGCGGTAAATCAAGTTGAACTTATTCTTGTTCCTCTAAAGGGACTCTAGTGCAAAAGTGTTTCGGCGCACTTGGCTAATTAGATGAAAACAGCATACCTAGCTAAGAAAAAACTCGTTTCTTAACTTCCGTTTATTCATGTTTATCTATGATTTACCTGTGTGACGACACGTAGGATGTGCTAAAGAACGAAGACCTGACGTTGGACGGTATATTTGTATCGTCACTTGTGGCCGATCTCCTAAAGGGCATGATCTATATCCACGATTCGGATATTGTGTCGCATGGTAACCTGAAATCTTCTAAATGTTTGGTAGACTCGCGCTGGGTGCTGCAAATCACAGATTTCGGCCTTCACGAATTTCGGTCGGGTCAAAACATGCCAAACACGAATCGTCGAAATAGAGGTGGGTTAATTAACTCATGTATTTAGTTGGGTCATATCGAGATACGTCTTCATGTGTGACACCGATATTATTTGATGTCAGCGTCGTCAGGTTTTGTCTAAATCGCAATCGTTTTTATTTTTTAAAAAAACAGCACAACCTCGAGAGACCATCTTGCGCCTCGAAGATCTCCCAATATGGCTAGAAAATGGTTGCTAAGTACCTGTACTCATAAGTAAATTACTGTTCCACTTATTCTTTTAATTCTATACTTAAACTAACATAGACTAAGTGGCGCTACAAATACCTAGACATCGAAGACTTTTTTCTTAAAGCCACATATATCATAGGGATGATTTTACCTTGTGTACAGTTTACTCAACATGGAACCGTCGATGCAGAAAATCTACCTTTTTATTGAAAGCTTGGAACTTAATTACACATACGATATAATAGAATAAGGTGAAAATAAAAGGTATAAAAAGGTAAATATAATAAAGGGTAAAAATAAAAAGGGCAACAATTTAAAAAGAACGTCAAACATTGGCCTATGTCTCAGATCAGAGATTTGAATTTTAACGGAAGTCCAACTTTGCCTAAGATATTTCTGCTTGCGTTATTTCTCCTCTATCTTGTTTTAATAAATACCACAACCTGAATATGCATTTAGAGAACGAACAAAGAATTTACGCTTTTCTGAAAAGCGTAGATTTTTTGTTGATAAAAGCCAAATCTACAAACTCTTTGTAGTAGGTAAATATATTTCTCACTATTAGTATTATTGTTATTATCTTATTCAAAAATTACTTAAAGTCACAAGTGGTAATAACAGTGCCAACCTTAGTTGTGTTATTTTGATATTTTCCCTTGTTGTTTCGACAGATGTCAGACTGAAGGCCTTCATATTGACCTGGTTATTATACGGCGTTCGCCTAAGAGTCCTAAAACCATATAGAACAAAAATGAAAAAATAACCGAGCAAAAAAAAATATAAAAAGTCACATTTGGATCTAACCATTTTTTATTGAATGACCAAACCATTCGGCAGCCCAGGCCGTAACCTTTCAAGGAGGACCCTCCAGGATGCCATGTTTTTCTAACAGGTTTTTCTCGTCATACATTGATATTTAGCCTTTTTTTCAACTAGTAATGTTCCAACTCGAACAATATGAATCGTGAACTTATCGACCAACAAAATGATATATGGATTGTTCCATATTCATAGAAAACTAAGGCTAAAATTAGCAAGTCGATTGTGTACAATAAGTTGCTATAATTGGCAAACGCACGTAACTGAGAGACGGAGATGGTTATACATTATTATAGAACGGTACGTAGAAAAAACATCTCTAGCTTTAGGCTCGGCTTTGTCATTAAGCATTGCTTTAGGCGGCATGAAGTTGTCACTAAGAGAAAGCAGCGTCACAGCAGCTACGCTTGATCATATTGTTTCTGTCATTACAAGCATTATATTTGGTTTGGCAATATGTATAATATTTTTGTAAAAAATATCGTAGGTCTTCTTTGGCGGGCTCCAGAGCTCCTACGCGAACAATCGCTTCTATCACGAGGGACCCAGAAGGGAGACGTCTATTCATTTGCAATCATCCTTTACGAGATCGTTGGTCGGGCAGGCCCATGGGGACCAGACCCATTACCCATTAAATGTAAGCATTCAATAATATCTGAAATGTAAGAAGACCCTATAAAGATCTGAAACAGTAGTTCAGAAGACTAACGTATAACGATGGCATTCTGATGTAGCTTCAAAGAACTTTGATTCAAGTTTAAATCGTTACTTTATGTGCATTGTGTTCATCTAGAATCTCATGTTAGAGCCTTATATTTCAGTGTACTGAATCAGATGCAATGCACAGCGCCCTCAGGTCCCGCAACAAATACGGTGATAAATACACACGCATATACAGATAGGTAAAACATCAGTTAGCTATACATTCTACAAGAGGCAGTTTTACACATCATTTTTCTTTGAATACCTTTGGAGCACAGCACTGCGTACTATTGAGTTGGCATGATTCATTGTATCCCAGGCCAATCTTCTGGCCCTTCGTCTGACGGTTGGACCTGGTCCGAGATCATACTAAATCTCCGTCTACGCCTCCTCTCCTTTGTCCAGTTAAGCTTTCTGTTAGTTCAAACTGTACATTCGTAGGAAAAATGGTAGACAAACCAGCTGTGCAGAACAATCTAGCTTTCTCTCTCTCACGTGGCACTCTTACCCTTCATCGTTTTCCAGGCGCGTTTCACATGTGGGCCTTTGCCTGGCAAAGAGACCTTCTTAGAGTATTCTTTTTATTCTTCTTCTATTTCACGAAGGACGCAAGCAAAGTTTCTTTTTTAAAGTTTGGCGGCCTTTGTTAGAGCTATGAACGTGAAGATCGTTCCAGCCGGCTGTGGTGCCCGACATCACCGTATCAGTGTATAGACAACGTCATTTGCGAAGTAATACAGTGGTGCTATACGTATTTCCGAATGTTTGAGATGTACTCTTTTGCAGTAGTTCCCGAATACACGGATGGAATGGCCGTCCGTCCCACTCGCCAAATATCCGTGGTTTTTTGTGTTCATCACTTCACGATTAAATTATAGTACAAAATATACAATACACCAGTGAAACGTTACTTGTTACACACTATAACTACTAAACATTATAGTATTGTAATAGACCGAGACGGAGACGATCCAAAGGAAAAGTTAACAGGCAGTCGGAAAGGTGTACGCTCTCATGGCTCCCCTTCTGGCCGGCCTTCGTAAAAAACATACTGACCTGTGCTGTTGTAAAGTAAGAAAAAATTTCGGCCGACAGAAAAAGAACTATGGGGATAAAAGTTCGTCTTCATCCTCAGTCATCACGTCCCGTCATAGAGTTCCGTTGCTCGCTGCTCATTGTGCGTTTGACCCTACTGGGACCGTTGACGTTACATAGTTTCACGCTGTTGGACTTTTCGGCGACTGGGTGAAGCTATGGTACGTAGCGTTGCTATTGAGCGAATGCTTTTACATAACATAGGACCTTTTAAAATGGAGGTTTTTATTGACGATTTCCAATGAAGCTACTGCATGGCGAATACAAATGTACTCAGGTAGTCTACATCTGAATTTTACACAAAAAAAAGCTGCACATACATTCCCAGGGAGCTCTTACTTCCCTGTTTCAGGCTAACTAGATAGCTTTAGATAGAAAACCAAAAGCTTGTTTCGAACGTTTGTCTTTAGCGCTTCGCCATCGCAAGTTCACTGCAGTCGAGGCCACGAATCGCTATCGAGCGGATATCGTGCGGCTCGAAAAATGGGTTTCTATACGGATGTTTTTTACTCTTTGAACACTTTCAGTAGGACTTCTCAGCACTCGTTGACCAAATCAAAAACGATATTTAAAAATAGTTTTGCCACGTTTTTCAAGCTGGCTCAATTTGGTGTTCATATCATTATCAGCATCACTAATAAGAAAGCTGCAGTTTTTGATTGCACAGTTACCCGCGCAACGATGCTCTAGTGATTTTTTGATTAAATGAATAATTTCTGTTTGCTGCCTGGCATTGTCGAAGAAGTGCGTAACGCTCATTGGTCTAACGGGCGTTGACATTACCCAATCGACGGCATTGCATATACAGGCCTTTGACCGTAGGCTTCTCTCAGATTTTTCGAACTTGTGTCTACGTTCCTATTAACTAGGTAGAATTGCGATACGGTTGTGTGAAGATTTAATGGCTTTATGGATTTAATTTACCGTACGATCCAACAACCAAACAATAGCATAGGTAAATACGGTGCACGATAAACGTGTTTAATGGCTAAGTTAGATATAAAATTGAATAGTATAGGTAAATACTGTGTGCCATAGACAGTAGGCTCATCTTAATGTCACAGATTAGTCTTTGCTGTGAGAAACTGCTTCAACAATCTGGATTATGCAACAGGGACTCTGCTGAAAGGCGCGCAGGGCAATTGCAGTTACTAAGTTCTATTGGGCTACGATAAACACCGAACGGAGACCGCATCGGCCTCTGCCCTCCTAGATGTCTTCGTTTTATGAGTATTGTTGTTATATATGCGCCTAGTTGCCTACTATAGGTGCGTTCCCGTGGCATTTTAACCAGTGTCACTATTCATAGTCTGCCCAATGCTCTATACCATGTAATACGTGTGCCTAAATGAAGAAGCTTTAATTATTTATAAAGCACCGAATTTTAATCTCATTTCATGCATCTTCTGTTCTTCGGACAATCGGACTATAGCTGTTATCTGTACAGTGGTAGGAAACGAATTTAAGTCAATACAACTACCCCCAAAATATGAATCAACGTATGAGGCTGTATGAAGTAGATCAACGATGACGAAATAGAGATAGGCTTCTATTACAGTTGCTTGAAGCATAAACTTACCGATGTATCTTAACACAGCCATCCACGCGGCTGCGTTGCTTAATAAATACAGAGTAAAACAGACTTTACCAGTTTTCGGAGCAAGAAACGCGATCAGTAGATAACGTTCCCACTACCGGCATTGACGTGAGTTCTTTCTAGTGCATACATACACTTAAGACACATGTCAAAATTTAACAATATTTTTCTAAACAAGTTCCATTGTCTTGTTTTTGCTATCGGGCTCAGCTAGACAAATGCACTAGGTAGGAGGCTTGTCTAATATTTACCCGAAGACATCTGCTAACTGGCTGATGATTATGGGTCGTCATGCACTCGTTTCTGTCGCTTTTCGCGTTCCTGCCCACTGCACGATGAAATCCTGTGTCGGGCCACGTCATCTATCACCTCTAGGCATTATCGACGCTTTGATCAACCCGCCAGACCCTCTGCATCCACCCCGACCACCATTGGAGGCGCTGAATTGTCCAGACTATGTTGTTCAATGTCTGCGCGAGTGCTGGGACGAAAATCCCGATCAGCGGCCGGACTTCCACTTTGTGAACGTTCGCCTCAGAGAAATGCAAGCTGGATTGTAGGTTGAATTTTACTCGTAGAATTGCCGTGTTTTTAGAAAAACAATAGCAGTAATATATACATAAAAAATTGATCGATGTCTTTTTCTTGAGCCACAAAGGTTTCCCTGCCATGGTACAAATGGCGAAATACGTCTTGGAAGTAATAGTCATATTATGGTCTACCTTCGCTTTATTGAAAGCTCAATTATATTTGCTGGACTGTCTTACGTACTGACTTTATTATGAATAGTATGACCTAGTTATTGATAACAGACATTGAGGATATGTGTTTATCTTTCTTTCTTAATTTCAAATGTAATTATACACAAAGAATAGATAGGTCTGTTTCCCCAATGACAATGACATTGTCCTAATGTTGCTTGCGTATTATAAATTCGTCTCGCCGTAGGTTTGCCAACCTAACGAACTTCAAAATCGAACGCATTTTTTCCCATAGCAACCTAACTAAAACCAGAGCACAAGCAACATTTTTAGATATGCCCAAGGCTTTTCTTCGTAATTTATGTACAATAGTTCCTACGATGCTTATTTATGCTTCTCTATTTCGGACCTATGCCCGGCTACCCCGCCAATAGTATACTTTTTCACTTATGTCTATATATAAAAGTATCTTTGGCCTATAGTATTATTTCCCCTCAGTATCATAAACGACTGCTCGCTAAGTGGGCAAAGGACTGAGAAGAACAAAAGCGCAACGAAAAAGTTCTCTATCCTAAAAACGAGAGTCCGTCTTTCTGCGATAGAGCCGCACACAACCATCTTCCTCCTATGCTATACTGTTAGCAGAATTTTCTATTTTGTCACCTAATTAACCATTACGCTAACATAAGAAGAGTTCTTTTTTGTATCTTGTTTTTGAGCATGCTTGCCCACTGCAACTGTCCAGCACCAGCAGTAACCTGGCTGTGATCTCAGTATGTCGCACCTCTCTAGTTAACGATATCTTGTTTCCCCCGTTCGGGAGAAGATATTACTGAGGAAATGCCCCCTAACTGTACATCGTATGCTAGACTTGTTCAATGCATGATTCAATAACGCAGGTTACAGGACCTTCATGCTATTCTGTGTTACTATCATGTTTAAAGTTTTGAGATTCCAATGTAAACCATTATCTCGCAGGCTGATTTTCGCTGATGCAGTTGTTTATCTGCTGTGTAACAAATGGCACAACGAAGGTTATTTCTCCGTTTTTCATTACACTGTCAATTGAATAGTGTTATATATCGCAGCTAAAGGACACCTTAAACAAACATGAACGACGTAGAGTTAGGGTAATGCTAATGACACGTGGGTGCTCTTATAACGATTTCTATACTGGACAGACGACACTTTTTGAAATGCTATTAAATACTTGACACACAATGGTTCTATTAGCTTCCGTGTGCCGTCAAAACAGTGACGATGTTCGACGTGACGAAATCGTTCTGAGGGAAAATACGTGGAAACCATATAGACTAAGGTTTAACTTACAAGAACTTCGCCGCACCTAAACTTCAATGCAGTTCGTAAACAACGATGGCGAATGTCGTCGACTACGATATTATCTCTGCAACTCTGTCTTTTCTGTTAGGAAACCGAATATTTTCGACAACATGATTGCCATAATGGAGAAGTACGCGTACAATCTCGAATCACTCGTCCAAGAACGAACTTATCAGCTTCTTGAAGAGAAGAAGAAGACCGAAAATCTCTTACTACGAATGTTGCCTAAGCCAGTTGCTGAGCAGCTGAAACGGGGTGAACCGGTAAGTGTGAAAGGATGAGAATGTCTGTACTGAAACAGTACATTACTTGAAGTGTAATAAGAATGACAGGTGTAAAATGGGTTAGGACAGAGAGTGATTATGTAAATGCTTTCGTCTACCTGTACGTTCCAAAATTGTGTTGGGAAGACCATAATGTTGGTAATCCCCATACACTTACAGGTCTTTCATTCGCTATTAGTTAATGACTGAACTACGCATTACTCCGTCATCGTTGCGAATTTTACAAGGTAGTTAGGATATAGAGAGTAGCCAACTGTTTGGAAGCTATCAATAAAATCACCAAGTCTCAAGATAGTAAATTCAAATCACAGACAACAAATCCAGAGTTGGCAACCACGGGCAAAAATGAGCTTGGTTACGTGACACAGACAAACACTTCGGCATGTATGGGTCGAAATATTTGTCTCAAAAGTACTGTGGTAGAAATCGTGATCAGTCTGATCTATGCAGGCACTCGACTTAACATTTTGTCTGATCAACCGTCTACTCAGGTGCAAGCGGAAAGTTTCGAATTGGTGACCATCTATTTTTCGGATATCGTCGGCTTTACGGAATTGTCAGCTCAGTCCTCACCTCTACAGGTCGTCAATCTTCTCAACAGCCTATATACATGCTTCGACTCTATCATAGAGAACTATAACGTCTATAAGGTCGAGACTATTGGAGACGCTTATATGGTCGTTAGCGGACTGCCATTGAAAACGTGCGATCACGCTGCACAGGTTCGAACCTTTACCGTTAACGTTTTCAGCGTTATCAGGAGGCTAAGTAGTGCACAAGAACGATTACCGACAATTTAGTAAAATGCTAGATCATTAGATTTATAATAGGCGGCTGCTGTATAAAACCTATAGCACTCGTCGTCGCCGAACGAGGCCGAGCTACGCCTTTCGTGAAAAGTATTCTGCTAAGGGACGACGTCTAACGGAATCTCTCAAAACTCCATTCATAATTACTGTTTAATTTAATAAAGCTTATAGTAAGACTGAACATTTTATTTATGAAATAGCAGATCAACGTGTTATATATATATATATTCAGATACTTTAAACTTACTGTTATTACAACTAGTTTAGTTGTCTAGTCTAATGACAGTAAGTTTAAAGTATCTGAATCTTTTTCGTCTGATACTTCCTAAGTTAAACATTACTGCTTCGGATAGCCGCTTCCCTTTGGCACGGAAGCAAGCATGCAGGGAATTATTAACCGCAGACGAATGATTCGTCAGACAAATAAGCTGAATAATATTAATATAAAATGACATTTTAATATTTATTCAGCATACTTAAATGTTTTGCCTATTGGAAATTACCAAAGAACCCTCCATTTGACCCGTAGCTTAATTAGCTATTTACTAAGCAATCATAAAACATCACTTCTTAACAAAATTCCCAGTCGAAGTGCAATATGCAAGCATGTCATAGGACAATCAATACTCAATCTGCTTGTTAGCCAGCCAGCCTTATAGGCACGTATATTATTATAATAGATAGTGTGTCACCGTAGCAATAAGAGGGTCTTAAAAGCGCCTTGATCTATTGTTATTTGGTTGTATGCTGCGACGCTTGTAGATGTCGTCGATAATAGTTGAGGTCTAATTAATGCAACTCGATCGTACGCAGGCTGTTAATGATCCTATTGTAAATTACAATGACGGTTTAGGTAGCGTGTATGGCCTTGCATTTGCTAGCGGCGATCGCCGGCTTCGAGATCCCACATCGGCCGGGCGAAAGGTTAATGCTCCGTATTGGCATTCATTCCGGACCCTGTGTCGCGGGGGTCGTCGGCCTGAAGATGCCGCGATACTGCCTGTTTGGCGACACCGTGAACACTGCTTCCCGAATGGAGTCAACAGGACTTCGTGAGTTCCGCTGTTCTTACGTGTGTGTGTCGTTTGCCTGACTCAGTCAATCTGGGTAAAGACTTCTTTAATCCCTGTTCGGACTTATGAACGATAACTGGCACCAAAGTGCGGCCGTTGTTTCTATAGCCCCTCCAAGCTGACAAAGTAATTTTAAGCGATTTCTATTACGGCTTAGAGAACAAGTGGTTTTCTTGAAGCGAAATGTTTAATTATCATTCCGCCAAAACATTCATTAAGGTATCATACTTAGACATCAGTTGATCAATCGATCTTAAAATATCCAAGAGATTTCTATAGCTTTAGTGCAATATACAAAAGGGAAAGTTGATACATATTTATTATGGACATACACAAACAAACATAGTAAAAGGCCAAAAATGGATTATCCTCCAGTCCGCTCAACAAACGCTAAACCGAACTATTTACTTGAGAAAAACACGCATTACAACAATTGTCGCTGCACTATGTTGCTACAAATATTTTAGCCCGCGACCTTTCATTTACAGCTCTTCGCATACATATCAGCGAGACGTGCAAAAAGCTTTTGGAGAAGTCGGGTGGATTCCGCCTCGAGGAGCGTGGGCTGACCATGATCAAAGGCAAAGGCGAAATGCGGACATACTGGCTGCTTGGTAAGGCAAACGGCGGCGGCGGCGGCGGCGGCAGCAGCAGCAGCAGCAGCAGCAGCAGCAGCAGCAGCAGCAGCAGTAGTAGTAGTAGTAGTAGCAGTAGCAATAATCATTTGTGCGAACAGAACCACGCCGGCGCATCAGTTCAACCAACCATTACGCCAGCCATCACACCCTCGGCTTCAGTTGGAAATTCGGGTCACTATGCCAGCTTTTCAGCCCAATTTCTTCAGCCCGTCACATTAAGTACTCGCAATTTAACCGGGCACCTGCGATCAAACTCGCTCACGACGACGTGGCTGTCATCACCCGTGGCATCGGCGAAGTCGACTACGCTTCAGCACGCCACAAGGACCTGCAGTACCGGTGGAGGACGGTTACCTTTTTTCCGTTAGGGAGTAACGCTAGAGAGAGGAGATGCAGGTCGAAGTTATAAGAAGAAGCGTACAAAAGTGGAAACTAGTCAAATTGTTGACAGTATAAGCAATAGCGTGTACATAAATGCAAGGATAAAGCTTGCAATACCGGAAGTCGGCTGCACTGTGCCCACGGTATAAGGACTGATATTACCATTTTATCCGAATTCTAAATTATTCTTGTATCTGCATATAATTTTATCGTGCTTGCATGCGTTCGATACGTTTGTTAGTTTTCATTTGAATGTTTGGTCTACGATCACTTATGCCACGAAGGAACAGAGTAACCGATCTAGTGTTCCCAAGGTTCTAACTCAAAAACACATCGGCGGTCGCTACTCTTTGCGATAATAGGAAAATCGCATGAAAACTTGTTTCTTTCTCGTAGTTCCGCCAGTTAACAATAGAATCAAGCTTTCGCTCAAAGACACGGCGCGTTTAGAAACTACAATGCTTGAAAAATGGCAACAAAAATGAAATTAGTAACAGGGAACAATGACGATTTTCGCAATGGGCATCCGTCCAGAATAGTTCTCGCGATCGGCTGTAATTTGAACTTGAGATCTCTAGTCTGGAGGTGAGATCCAGACTCATCTTGAGGGTGGAGTTTCAAAACGAGGTGCAGCAGAACGGCGACGAAAATACAATTTATTGGAATGAAGTGACAAAAAATCAGCGATACGATGAAACAGAACTGTATTAAGCTAAATCGGAGAAGAATAAACTTCAGGCCGACAGCTCGCTTTCCGAACGCCGAAGAGAAAGGTCCTAAAAAGCCGACATAGGCCTTTTCGGCCAAATCACGAAAATCTCTAAACTAGTAGATCGATGTGCGTCTTAATGAAATCGTGTGTTCCCGATGGAAGCAGAATGATCCAGAGGAAAAAGGGTGTTGAATTTTGCCTGAAACGGAAACTGCCTAAAGGTTGTTAGTAGGAGTGGACTTGTATGATAATAAGTAAAGTAGTGGTGTAGTTCGAAACGCAAAGTCCGCCTACAGGAAAAAAATAATTGTGGATTTCATGCCGCGATAACACTAAGATGGAACACCGGTATTGATGATCAGTTCTATGTCAAGCCACTGTGGAACAAATACGACACGATCGACTGAGCGACTGCATTTGTATGACCTAAGGGCCAATGTCGAAAGCCTACTTTCGACCGATCTGCAACTATGGATTTTCTTTTCGTTTTTTCACACTGACATAGCTACGAAAGCCAAGGGGCACACTCGTGTATACACTGACTGAATGAGTGGAATGTAACTTCCGTATGAGACAAGCTGTCTGCTGATTTGCGTCAAACATTTTGCTATCAATGAACCTGATCAACCTTGAAACGCATCCGCTCCTGTTTTCTTTCCGTTTCAACCGAACACATGACTAACCATTTACCTATGCTCATATTTGCTACATATATGTCTATTAGAATCCGGAATACGAATGCTTTTTGGGTTTTGCTACAGCTCTGTAGTTCGACGGTGGAAACAAGCGTGGATAGACATTAACCGGATCCTGAACTGGCATCTTGAGGAAGGAATCAATTCACAGTAGGTTGTAGTTTAGCCTCGTGAAGGTCAGACGGTGTAAGGTCGGCATGCAATAGATCACATAACCGGGTCCATTTTAACAAATAGGGTAGGCGAACGTACGGTCCGGACGTGACATATGCGCTAGGTTAGTCTTAAAGTAACGAAATTTATCTTGTAACAAGCCCAAACTAGAACAGCTCAGTTCGGTATTGAGCAAGGTAAGTCCGCTGTTTTTCAAGTGTCCTCAACCGCTCGTATTCATTTCATTGAGTCAATATCATGTTTTTTGGACCAGTTTGTTTTAACGAAGCATAAATTTGCATGCAAAAAAAGCATGATTTGAGCATTTATGGAGCAGCTGAGCCTAATAAGGCAGCGTTCGCTGCTACTCGTTAGCCTTTTAACTAGGACGTATAAACAGAAGAAGTAATCCTCTTCCGTCCTCAGTGGATCCAGAATCTGAATAACACCAAAGTAACACCACCACCATGTAAACATTTAGGCGTTGCATTATTGAAGGGTTTGGATATATAAACATGGGCATCTACGATCATCTGATCGATAAAAGCGCTATCTTGAAAATTGCCGTCGCCTGCTTTTACAATGGTGTTGGAACAACCCGTTAACCTGAAATAGAACTTGTGTTTATCCTTTAGAATAGTTAGAAATTGCGCTATGGACAACGTTGTATCAATCGAGGATTACTTCGTGCCCCGAAAAAGAGATCAGAATAGAATACCAGCCCAAGGTATTATCAAGTAGCTGGGCGATCCGATAAGTTGAACACTGTGTATACCTGTAATAGAATAAAGACGATCTTAAAGTTTCTAATCGAACATGATAAGTAATAACAGTAATTAAAAACAACGATACAAAGATTAACAAGTTGCTCTCGAATGTCATACATCGGTCGATCGCAGCCATTTTCTGAAAACGGCATATTATGTTTTTTTTTTTTTTTTGTAAATCTCAGAGATTTGTGCAAATGCTCTTTGCTGCAATATCGTAACAGATAATTGAAACTACTCTATAAAATCACCTTCTACAAATAACGTAACATATACTACAAGTCCAAATCAAACTAACTTGAGCAAACAAACTAATTATATAAAGAAATATTAAAATTGCATATATACTAAATTGTCTCTTGACTTGCATCTTCTCACAGATAATGTCCTAATGACTAACGGTGCGCCCACTCTACTAAGTTTTCGAATATAGTTCAAGTGAAGAACTATCTTGAGCGTTCACTTATCAAGTGATTTGAAGCTCATTGCGTACCTCATACGAATTTATACAAACAACATACAATACTGGAGCTGTATACATACATGATAGGTATACGTCGTGTTTTTTTTTGTATTTATTACCATATTATTTTAATACTTTCGACCAGCTGTTTTAGTGGCGCAGATTTTTACCGTGATGAACACCGACGAGATAAAATCTATTTCAGACATTGTTATCGTATACAAGGGCAGAGGGAAGATTTTCTAGGTAGATGCTCCTTGTGGTTAGTGTCACTAGTATGACACGTTATAGTGACGAGGATAGATAACCGTAACAAATACGATACGGTACTTGTCCAACAAAATCAAGCTAGAAATTATCAATCGTATCGCATTATAACAACGCCAATCTAAACAAATAAAGCGTCCTATATTTATTATATATACCAGAAATCACTCCTTATAGTATTGATAATAATTCGACTCGAAACTAAGAGTAGAGGCTACAGTTGGGGAAAACTATGTTATTAGTTGAACGAAAAATAACTTCGCTCCCGTTCCATCATTACCACTAGCTTTCGAGTAAGACATCAGTAATTATTTATCAAGCGTTTGTACTATTGCCCGCTTTGTCTGCCGAAGTTTAACTTCTTTTGCTGTGATAGATCGTAATAGTTCATTTGAAAATCATTCAAAGAGTCGCTTTTTTTTTTAATTGTTTTTTTGTAGAATTTTTTTGGATAGATAGAACTTCATCCATTATATATACGGGCACAATGCTTTTTAGTGATTCAAAATTCGAAGTTTTAGCCTAGAGCTTCATTACGAGTACACAATTTTATGAGACAGATAAATCGAATAGAGAACACCTTGTTTTTGTCTTCACGTGCACCTTGAAAATTAGTTCTATAATGGACGAGTATGTCTGTAGGCCTTTAAAATATATTCGTGATGGACATTTAAGACCCGCCAACTTCCGAGACCCGCTGTGCGTTCGTCGAATAATCAAGTTGTGCCAATGCCCAGAAGACAAACCCCTTTATTCCTAAATTTAAAACGTGTTCAACGTCCGTCTGTAAGATGTAGTAGAGAGAACAACTTCTTGATGAATGAGCGTTCAGCGAACGTCGGCCAAAAATTTGCTCGAATTTAAAGACAGACATATATTTATATACGTGCGTATTTACAGAGCGTGTCTGATGCTCTGAACTCGTATGTTTCGATGTCGTTTATTACTGAATGGGGACATCATGCTGGTCTCATTAACAAAGGTGTATGACAAAGAACCTGGCTAAATTGATCGTTACATGTTGTGGGTATACCCGTAACAGCCCCATTGCAAGAGGTCCAAGTATTTTCCCCGAGTTTGCTGCACGTTTGGCAATTTTATTTATTGGAGGTCACGGACCAAGAACAGTGGCAGAGATCGATACATTGCTAAAACATCCATCACCGTTCTCTTACGTAGTAGCTGTTTAGGCGGTCCATTGGAGCTAAAGCTGTCGATCACCTTATCGTTAGGACCCTTGTGGCCAAACAAAACCGACGTCGTCCCAACTACACCAGCGAATACTACTACCAAGAAAATTTAGTCTCATCCAAGCCACCAGTACAAACCAACCTGTGGGAAGCCAAAATGTTGTCAGTTGCCTGTAGACATGGATCAAAAAAGTCCGAAGCATACTGGGCACTTACTTCAACGTCGTGTAACGATCTTCAAAAGCTCCTGCTAATTACAGCGCCGATATATTCTCCTTCAGTGTTAATGCATATGCTTCATTCATTTTTAACTTTGTCGTCAGTGAGCGGCCACAAGTGTACTTATTTGTATGATCCCTAGCGGCCAAATCATTGAAAATAGCAATACGTTCTCCACACAGATAACAAGACACACGCACTGTTAGAAATCGCGCTTTTCCCTTCACGTCGCGCCCTACTCGTTCAATGTTTTTCCTATTTACTCCATGCTTTTCTGAAAATCCGCTCGACTTTCGTTGTTTGCAATGTACAGAATTCTAGATAAGGAGACAAACACCATGTATAATAGTGCTGAAGACTTTCATGAAGCCGATGATTTCTTGAAGATACGTACGCAGGATGTACACGCAGTTTCCCTAATTCGAGATTACTTGATCTATTTCCATAAATACACCCACTATAATATTGCACATATGCTTAAGTAATTGAGTTTACATTTCTCGAATACCGTTGCTCAATGAGCGAGACTCCCTATAGAGCTGTCGATGCAGCTGCAGAAAGCCAAATGAATGGCTATTTCGCTAAACGGCGCTCTAATTCTAAGCTGCGCAAGGTTATTTCACCTTAGATTAGTCTATTTTAAACAACAATGGCTACAATCAGGTATATGTGCCCTGTCAGTAGGACGTAGAACGATCTTAATAAGCCTGTACTAGATAGCATCACTTTGTCTGGCGATAGCAGGACAAAATTCTACCTTCCGCTAGGGCAGTTTTACACGTGTAGGGCTATTTTTGATTTTCTAGTTGCTTTGCCATACCTACAATAAGAAGCTTCTCAAAGGAAAGTATTTTTATATTTTCCGGTTAACCCGCCATCTTTTTGAAAGGGTTGGGAAAAACGAACAATCAAAGGCTGAGAACCAATTTTTTTTAGATAATTCTCAAAAAATTCCTAACGGGTTAAGAATTTTGACTTGTGCTTCTTAACCGTGTCCTGCTTCTATTATAACCTTGCTAGCCACCAAGTTCCAAACAACACCAACGTTGATTAAGTAAAAAGAAGGGTAAATAGCATACATTTAAAGTCAACGTCGTCTAGTTTGTAACGGAAAACGTGGCTTTCCTAAAGAAATACAACTGTTGTAATCAAAAGAGAATTTTCACGCTTGGCCCGTAGCTTTTTCCAGGTAAGTTAAAGCTGAATGGTAGATAAGTCATTTTTAGAACGTAGAAGACGTACATCTGATCTGACGGAGCCTATGGGTTGGTAGTAAGAATAGAACACTGATTGGACGAAACTTGTTGTAATATCGGATGGCACCCACTCCTTTATTTCCAACGGATATCGCTACTTTCAGCAAGAGCTCGGAGCCTAATTCGTCACGAACGTCCATAAAGCCTTAGTGCTTGACTTCAAAATAGGATAAACTACGAACCCTTCCATAAATAAAGAAAATCAATAAAAAAAATAAAGTAAATGCGTTCACGAACGTTAAGCCAGGATTCGTTCTCAAATTGAGAAGTAGCCTATCTGGCTGAGATTCGAAAACGACAATTAGTCTAATATATAGTACTAGCGTTAGAGGTAGAAGGAGTGCAGAATATAGACTTGCTACTAGCTAAATCGCAGCAAAACTATCAAATCTATGGCATTGACTTTTGCGTGATATTTATTGGTAAATTGTAATGTAACGATCTATATTGGTCGATATATCCTTTCGACACGTCTATGCGTAAATTAGATGACCGCTATCGACTATATGAAGCAGAGTGAGCTCAAGAAAGTTTTAGGAATCGCTACTTGCTTCATCCCTACGTTCCCTGTTTATAGACTAGACCACAGGCGATGTTTTATTAACGTGGCCTAGTATAGCCTCGAAAGAATCATGGCCTGAATGGTACTTGATTATTTACTGCGACGTACATATGAAAAGCAATGTACGGTATTCGTTCTCACTTGGACATCGTTTCAAAAGTTTTGAAAAGGTTTTTCCTTTTAATTTGTTTTCATTTACGCAAAAGCTTTCCAGCTTTCTTTGAACGGGACAAGAGCTTTTAGTGAATTAACCTGAGTTGGCTGACCGAAGGGTTGACTTGTAATACTTCAATCTAGCAAAACGATTTTGTGTTTTGTTTAAGTTGAAGGTAAACAATGAAAAGCTTGAAATTCAATCCCTTGAAAATATCCTAGATTCTCCCAGGACTGGCTTTTAGGCTAGAACTCATTCTAAACTCATTTAAAGCTGCTCGTCCTTTCGCCAAACGTTATATACATCGCCTTTTCTCCGGAAAACATTATCAGCCTTTTCAGCAGCCGTTTTTCTTACTAGACATTTTTTTTTTAACTCGTTACTCTATAAGGAATACGTGAGTTTTCTATATACTCCAATCTTGGCTGCTTAGGCCCGACATCTCTATAGGAATATATTGGAGATGTCTTTCGAGTTCTTTCGCATTTTCCAGCTCCCGAGTGGTTATTGAATGGCAGCTTGTTTTACTGAAGGCCACTAACACTAAGGTCGGCGCAGTTCTTAAGCTCGTTGAGCTCTTTATGTGACACAATGGCCAGGAGCAGACTCAATATTACGAGATGATGAGAAATGTTTAGATAATATCTAAAAGTGATTTTAAGATATATTTCAATAAAAATAGGTATTGAGATATACTGCACAACACACAGTATATATCTAAATAAAGAAAATTTAACTGTATATAGTATATATCATAATTATATGAGTAACTAACACTGAGAGATAGTATTCCGCGCAAATTAATTCAGTACAGATGGAAGCGTTTCATTTAATTTTAAAATTTATTGTAAAAAGTATGACGGTGCGTGCTACGATGACAACTGTCGATACAATAACTGCTACTAAGTCACATTGTGGATTGGGCACTCTCTGTTATTAGATTATTATTATTAGATATATTATTGTTATTAGATGAAAGTCGATACAGCCTGTTTGTCAATATAAAAGCGTACATATTTTCTCAAAAACGCAAGAAAAATGTCCTAGCCAAAACTGTATTAGAAGCTATTTCAGCCCCAACTTGTGGTAGGTAGTACCACAAGTTAGTACCACTCTGGCTGAGATCACTCAGTGCCGTGTAAAAACGTAAATTGTTAGCCAAAACCACCGGTAATATTGTCGTCCGCATTTTTACCAGTGGACCGCAGAGAGGTGTGGCCAGACAAGAAAAGACCATCTGAGACTAATAAATGTATCGCTTACTTTAGTGACGTAAACTACGCCCTAAATTCAGCGTCCAGTGTATATGAATATACGTGTATGTATATATCTATGTGCATGGGTTATTTAATTGGAGCACTTTGTGATAGTTTAGTAAGTGGTGTTAAATGCACGATTGCTATCGTCGGGAGGACTTTAATGAAGATACCTGATTTTAGTAAGACAGAGCAGGCATTGACCAATATTAGATGTATGAGCAAACCTTGCTGAGAATCTCCCATACAGATTGTGCTAAAATCTAAATATTTTAGTTATATGTAATTAAGAACTTATGTTACAACCAATTAAACTAAGTATAGATCTTTTTCGAAAGCCCTATAATATCTATATGTGATGCGGGCTATGCGCAATTAGAGCCACAAGCCTAATTAGTATCTTAAAAATATAATTATCATGTTAAAAATGAGCTTGCAAATCTGAGCACGGTTAATCTTATACGTTATTATCAATGCAACTTAAACTACTAGACAACATATAAAGGATGCGGATGTATAGGCCGAAATTTGTTTGACATTATCGCTGAGCATAACCATCGCCACGACAAAAGGTATGATAACCTATTCGTTAAGGACCCTTCTATTATGTGGCCTAAATGGGCTTATGACAATGAATCGATCCTTAAGAGAAGGTCAATTGAAAGCATCGTGTTGTTGGCCCCTATACAGCACTTTTTATGAGCCAGAAGTTAAGCTGTCTATATGAACCACTAGTAATTTTGTGCAAAAAAGATGGTCATTTAACGTTTAGCTATAGGGTAACGGCATAAAACTGGCTGTGATTTTCGTTATGGAAGAGGATGCTTCATAAAAATTGTTCAACTGCAGTCACAGTATCATTCTGGGATTACTCTAGCCCTGTATAACCAGTGTGCTCACATACGATTTTAATATAAATAATTATGATAAATTCTGTAATTATGACTATACTCGACATATATCGGTAATATTATTTCGTCCAAATAAGGCCTTCTGCCAATAAAATCGTCAGTATCAACTTCTTTTAAAAGCAACCACGTGCGACACGTTGCTGGCAACGACAACCATGTAATTTAAAGAGCGACGCAATCTAATGCTTTAGCTTCACTTAATATTTTAACTTAATACTAAGTTTATTAGTTAATAATTGATTAATAAGTTAATACTAGGTAAGTCAATTTAATGATTTTTCTAAAACGCGATCAACTTGCCTCTGAAAATGTAGATTTGGAATAGGCGAAACCGCAGGAGCGGACGTGAACGGATGACTTCACTTCGCCATCGTTCCACAAAAGCTTGGCTGTCCTGTATGGCTTCACTTCCTAGAAACTTGCTGGAAGAAAAAGTTGTCCAAAACCCGTCTGCATTTAAAAAAAAATAGTCAAGTTTGATAGCATTTAAATCAGATCAGGGTTTCCATGCTAGAGAACAACAGTGGCCCATATAGCTCCATATTTCCTTATATCTTGCTTTGAATAAGTTCGCGCCAGAACAATTTAAATTATATTGAAATATATAATCTAATTAATGCTATAATTGGATTCAGTTTTCTTTCGATATGTTCAATCGTCTATACAAAATGACTGTATTTTTGCCCTTAGCCGAGAGCCTCGATTGACCGCCAAAGCTGTGTGTAGATTCCTACAGGGTTACGTGTTTGCACAATGTACCGACAATGTCTTTAGTACGACCGCTTATTTCCACACTGTTGATGACACGACAGCGTGCGTCGTAAAAAGAGGCTTCTACAGGTTTACAAAACTCTACGACTTATATCGTAGCAAACGTCGTTTGCAAATAATTCGTTACACAATGATTTTTCTCTGGTTTTCTGCGATGCGAAGATCGGATTCGCCTGACCTATTTGACAGAAGCGTGAGCTTCTATCGATGATTGCGATCTTCTCGCGAGACGTAGCAACGATTACGACAGTTGCAATAGTAAGCAAACTGAGACAAAAAGCTTTTCTTGACCGCGTAATTCAAAAACGTTTCGGTTAGACTTATTCCAACCGCTACATATCAAAGTTATTGTTTTATTGAACACGAAAGGTACAGTGTCAGGTCTAATAAGGCACAGTTGAGCTTTGACATGCGATCCTGTTGTCGATCTCCAAACCGGACAATCGTACGAGGCTGACCGGAACAAGCATACTGAAACGTACGGGCGCGCAAGAGCAGCTGAAGATGCAGAGGTTGCTTCTGTCTAAATAGGTTGTCGATTGGTCCATTCCCAGTCAACGCATGTACACCTTTAAGGATTCGTTGAAATTTCTAAATGATTATCTACAATAGGTTAGTGGATTACCCACTAATCTCCAGAGAATTCCGGCATAAGCCACCAACACCAAAAAAAGCAGGGTCCACAACAGCATGAAACATGGAGACATAGGTTCGAGCATCATCACTACGCGCAGTTTATCCCGGTCGCCGAACGGCATCGATTGCACCTGGCGCTCTTCGGAAACTTCAAATTTACGCAGAATTGCCGCTTCAAAAAGTGCCCTTGCAGTTCATTCTTGCCCTAGTCTAACACTCTCTAGAAAAACAACGACCACCATTCGATAATTATGCCGCCGGGTGGAGACCAACTGCACCTGCGCCAACGCTCCGATCGTGCTCAGCCACGGCACGAGGTAAAACGCAGCTTTACGCCTGATACGTGCGGGCTTTAGAGCTGCAGAAGCTGGCAGTGATCTCGAGGTTTTCGTCGACCTCTCCCTGACTCTGATCGAATTGTGTTAACATAATAGAGCTGTTAGCTGAATGGACGAATTATTATTATTTGCTCATTGATCGCGTCTGCAGCCGTTCTCTACAGCGGAACAGTTATCGTCGAACTCCGTTTATCTCATTGTATGCTCAATCGTGTACAGCGGAAGTTGTCGACGACGCACATATGTAGACTTAACTAGCGAAGCGAAAGGCGGCTATTGTCAGCAGACTTATTGAGAAGAAGAAAAAATGGCACGAACGTAAGCAAAAAACGCGTCGGTGTTATGATCAGATCTATGGGGCACATTTAGCGTGAAAGCCCCTAGTCTCGTTAATGCTCCCTGCGTTAAAAAAAGATCGTGTCTCTATAATAACGCAGCCCAGGCGTAGATCCTTTTATCAAGTCTTTGACACAACGTATTTTCTTGATTTTATTTCACTCTTCATTTGTAGAACAGTATGCAGAGGGTTTAAATAATAAAGGCAACTCCAAATGTTCAATTCATAAATGAAATTGATTTCTAGATTTAGATCAATTGTTTTAAACACCGTGCCTCGAACACTGCTAGTCAAGAGAAACCCATCAAGTGTTCTTTGCAGTAGCTATAGTTACGCAAAAGGTGGGAATGATAAAAGCCGGCCCTGATAAATGTAGAGAAACGGCTAAAAAAAAATGTTTTATTTTCATTACAGTAAATATATGGGATGCTTGCGAGAATAGAACGACTAACAATTAGGACTATATAATTACAATTATAAGTAAATAAATCAGTAAATTAAATAGTAGCATGTTGACACCAACAGTTCCTGATAAAAATAACAACTTGAGCAGTTAGCATAATGTTATAAAAACGTATTTAGCCAAAGGTTTGATATTGGGTTGATACACAAGGGAAATAATTTAAATATCCGGTTTGAGTCAAATTTTATTAATTGTACAGTGAAAATAACCTGATACGTACGCTAAAAACGTTGCCAAATAGAAACTAACGTTAGGCTCTATTGCAGTCAGCTTCGGCGAAAGGCAAATAACCACGTCCTATGACGTCTACACACAGAATCCGCGTTTAGAATTAGGTTGAGGTATAGAGAAGTTACGTTTACTAAACTATATGTTTCTTCTTATGGCAAGTGGCTATCTCTCATTTGACTGATGAATTGAGAAGTACAGCGGGGTTTGCGCTGTCTAGCCAACCAACATATCCATATATGCAGCCTGCAGGACATAAAAACCATGAATTTGCTACTATTTGCATGCCGTGTTTGTATAGAGGCACAATCCAGTTTTCACCATGTGACCTCGACGGGTACCATACAAAATGGTGCTCTGTTTGCAAAAGCCAATAGGCCGATCACCATCGCATTGCGCGTTAAGATGAATAGAGTTGTGAGTGTTTCCTGCGCGAGTTGATGCTTTCCCGTGATTTTTTCCCAATTTGGCGATCTATCCGTTGTGATGCTCAGTAAGACGCCAAAAGGTCAAAACCTAGCCTACTAGTGTTCTTCAAGTCTGTGCGTACATATGAAACGAGTATTCATTCAAAAAAGCTATATATGTGCATATATTTTCTCATAATGCGGGTCCAAACGTAAAAGGCTACATATCGTCAGGATCTAAGGTACCGACACAGAAGCAAGCCAAGGCGCGTAAAGATATTAGCGAAGCGAACAGTATACTACTAATAGAAAGTCAATCCATACAACGATTAACACGACAACAAAAAAAAAAACAAAATAATTTATCAATAAATACAAGTAATCACAAAGCAAGAACGTGTACGATACATCGGCGGTTATTTACTGGATTTTTGTGTTACAGTTGTCACTAATACTAAATAGAAAAAAAACATCACAATACA